ATACACAGACACACATGTATAAGTGTGTGTCTGTGTGTGTTTGTATAGTGAATGCAGTTTGTGTGCTTGTATAGTGGATAATGGTGTGAGGGAAGGGGTGATGGTGGGGGGGTGAAGTGAGAGGGAGCTCAGGAGGGGGGGTGAGGATGAGAGTGAGGGGTGATTGTGAGAGGGGGGTGATGAAGAGAGAGGGGGTAATGCAGGGGGGACTAAAAAATTATCTGAAATCCCTGGTGGTCCAGTGGGGGCTGCCTGGTGGTCCGGTGTCCATCATTTCCGGTCTGCAGACCGGAAATGATGGCCACCGGACCACCAGGCAACCCCCACTGGACCACCAGGGATTTCAGGTAATTTTTTAGTCCCCCCTGCATCACCCCCCTCTCCTCATCACTCCCCCCCTCCTCATCACTCCCCCCTCACAATCACCCCTCCTCATCAGCCCCCTCTCACAATCACCCCCCCTCCCTCTCACAATCACCCCCCAATTCTCATCACCCCTCCTCATCACCCCTCTCCTACACAATCACCCTCCTCATCACCCCCTCCTCATCACCCCTCTCCTCATCACCCCCTCTCCTCATCACCCCGCCTCTCCTCATCACCCCCCCCCCCTCAACTACAGTTGAGTGTTTAGTGAATAATCTTTTTTCTTTAACCCATCAGGAAAAATTTCACAATTGTAATTTTTTATTTATTTTGAGTTTGTGAAACTTCCCATTGTAAAACAGAGATTGCATTAGTCGATTCATCAGGATACGTCATCGTATTTGCACTTTTTACCTTCCTTTTCTTCTGTTAATGTAACAAGTGTCTTACTCTTTTAGGAGTAGTTTACTAAAACAGGGTGTGGAAAGAATTGATAAAAGCACTACAAACTTGGGCCAAAACAGACAAAATCCTTAAACCCAACAATTTTATCAGGTTAGTTAATTTGATTTGCAATTTCCTAATGAATTGTCCACATTAATGCATAATATGAGCCTCTTGTCTGCTGTAAAATGTGAGAATTTTTACCCCAATATTTAACATTTAAGAGCTTTTTGAATAAACAGGTTGGTATCACAACCTTTTATGAGTGTCACATTTGAAAGAGCTTACAGTCTGGTACGGAGTGATACTCTGTATTACAGTCGGATACTGAGTGATACTCTGTATTACAGCCTGGTACGGAGTGTTACTCTGTATTACAGCCTGGTACGGAGTATTACTCAATATTACAGCCTGGTACTGAGTGTTACTCTGTATTACAGCCTGGTACAGAGTATTACTCAATATTACAGCCTGGTACGGAGTGTTACTCTATATTACAGCCTGGTACTGAGTGTTAGTCTGTATTACAGCCTGGTACGGAGTGTTACTCTATATTACAGCCTGGTACTGAGTGTTACTCTGTATTACAGCCTGGTACGGAGTATTACTCAATAGTACAGCCTGGTACTGAGTGTTACTCTGCATTACAGCATGGTAGTGAGTGTTAGTGAGTGTTACTCTGTATTACAGCCTGGTACAGAGTATTACTCAATATTACAGCCTGGTACTGAGTGTTACTCTATATTACAGCCTGGTAGTGGGTGTTAGTGATTGTTACTCTGTATTACAGCCTGGGCAGGGAGTTCCAGGTCAGTGTACTAAGTGATACATTGTATTAGAGCCTGCTAATAGCCAGTGTTTCAGTGTGACAGGGCTTGGTACCCTATTTAACTATGTTACAGAACCTGGCACTAAATGTTAATCTATGTTTGAGCCTTGTTATGAGTGTTACTATGTATATGTTTTCAACAGAGAAAAAGAGAAAGAATTTGAGGGTTACCAGTATAACAGAGATAGTCAGATACTGCATAGGGTAAAAAAACTACAATAGTTCAAACTAGACCTAGTAAACGTTACATTTTAACTATTGTAGTTTTTTACCCTATGCAGTATCTGACTATATCTATCTGTTATACTGGTAACCCTACTATTCTCTCTTTGTTTTTCTGTGTTGTAATCTTTTCATGGGGATTATTTCCCAAATTAGGATGTTACACATATATTGGCACCCGTTTCTTCTTGTTTTCTCTCATTTCAATATGTATATGTTTTACTTTGTAATAGACCTGTTATCTGGTTGTTACTCATTATTAGATCTTGTACCAAGTGTTACTCTGTATTAGAGCATGCAGGCACTGTGTGTGTTACTCTGTATTAGAGCATGCAGGCACTGTGTGTGTTACTCTGTATTAGAGCATGCAGGCACTGTGTGTGTTACTCTGTATTAGAGCATGCAGGCACTGTGTATTACTCTGTATTAGAGCATGCAGGCACTGGGTGTTACTCTGTATTAGAGCATGCGGGCACTGGTGTGTTACTCTGTATTAGAGCATGCAGGCACTGTGTGTTTACTCTGTATTAGAGCATGCAGGCACTGTGTGTTACTCTGTATTAGAGCATGCAGGCACTGTGTGTGTTACTCTGTATTAGAGCATGCAGGCACTGTGTGTTACTCTGTATTAGAGCATGCAGGCACTGTGTGTGTTACTCTGTATTAGAGCATGCAGGCACTGTGTATTACTCTGTGTTAGTGTGTATTAGAGCATGCAGGCACTGTGTGTGTGTACTCTGTATTAGAGCATGCAGGCACTGTGTGTTACTCTGTATTAGAGCATGCAGGCACTGTGTGTGTTACTCTGTATTAGAGCATGGCACTGTGCACTGTGTGTGTTACTCTGTATTAGAGCATGCAGGCACTGTGTGTGTTACTCTGTATTAGCATGCAGGCACTGTGTGTTACTCTGTATTAGAGCATGCAGGCACTGTGTGTATTACTCTGTATTAGAACATGCAGGCACTGGGTGTTACTCTGTATTAGAGCATGCAGGCACTGTGTGTGTTACTCTGTATTAGAGCATGCAGGCACTGTGTGTATTACTCTGTATTAGAGCATGCAGGCACTGTGTGTTACTCTGTATTAGAGCATGTAGGCACTGGGTGTTACTCTGTATTAGAGCATGCGGGCACTGGGTGTTACTCTGTATTAGAGCATGCGGGCACTGTGTGTATTACTCTGTATTAGAGCATGCGGGCACTGTGTGTATTACTCTGTATTAGAGCATGCGGGCACTGTGTGTTACTCTGTATTAGAGCATGCAGGCACTGGGTGTTACTCTGTATTAGAGCATGCAGGCACTGGGTGTTACTCTGTATTAGAGCATGCAGGCACTGGGTGTTACTCTGTATTAGAGCATGCAGGCACTGTGTGTATTACTCTGTATTAGAGCATGCAGGCACTGTGTGTTACTCTGTATAAGAGCATGCAGGCACTGTGTGTTACTCTGTATAAGAGCATGCAGGCACTGGGTGTTACTCTGTATTAGAGCATGCAGGCACTGGATGTTACTCTGTATTAGAGCAAGTAGGCACTGGGTGTTACTGTGTATTAGAGCATGCAGGCACTGGGTGTATTACTCTGTATTAGAGCATGCAGGCACTGTGTGTATTACTCTGTATTAGAGCATGCAGGCACTGTGTGTTACTCTGTATAAGAGCATGCAGGCACTGTGTGTTACTCTGTATAAGAGCATGCAGGCACTGGGTGTTACTCTGTATTAGAGCATGCAGGCACTGGGTGTTACTCTGTATTAGAGCATGCAGGCACTGGGTGTTACTCTGTATTAGAGCATGCAGGCACTGGGTGTTACTCTGTATAAGAGCATGCAGGCACTGGGTGTTACTCTGTATTAGAGCATGCAGGCACTGGGTGTTACTCTGTATTAGAGCATGCAGGCACTGGGTGTTACTCTGTATTAGAGCATGCAGGCACTGGATGTTACTCTGTATTAGAGCAAGTAGGCACTGGGTGTTACTCTGTATTAGAGGGACAAAGGTTTAAAAATAATATCAGGAAGTATTACTTTACTGAGAGGGTAGTGGATGCATGGAATAGCCTTCCAGCTGAAGTGGTAGAGGTTAACACAGTAAAGGAGTTTAAGCATGCGTGGGATAGGCATAAGGCTATCCTAACTATAAGATAAGGCCAGGGACTAATGAAAGTATTTAGAAAATTGGGCAGACTAAATGGGCCGAATGGTTCTCATCTACCTATGTTTCTATGTTTCTATAACCTAGTACAGTGTGTGGTTCTGTGATAGAAATCCCTCCTTTCTTGTGGATTAGGTTGTGATAGTGTGTCTCTCTCACACTCAGTACATACACAGCAGCCCTGCTCCTTCCTCTCACACACACACTCAGTGAGTGTTGCATACACAGCAGCCCTGCTCCCTCCTCACTCAGTGAGTGTTACATACACAGCAGCTCTGCTCCCTCCTCACTCTTACACTCAGTGAGTGTTACACACACAGCAGCCTTGCTCCCTCACTCTCACACAGCAGCCTGCTCCCTCCTCTCTCACACTCAGTGAGTGTTGCATACACAGCAGCCTTGCTCCCTCACTCTCACACAACAGCCCTGCTCCCTCCTCTCTCACACACACTCAGTGAGTGTTGCATACACAGCAGCCCTGCTCCCTCCTCACACTCAGTGAGTGTTGCATACACAGCAGCCCTGCTCCCTCCTCTCTCACACTCAGTGAGTGTTACATACACAGCAGCCCAGCTCCCTCCTCTCTCACACTCAGTGAGTGTTACATACACAGCAGCCCAGCTCCCTCCTCTCTCACACTCAGTGAGTATTACATACACAGCAGCCCAGCTCCCTCCTCTCTCACACTCAGTGAGTGTTACATACACAGCAGCCCAGCTCCCTCCTCTCTCACACTCAGTGAGTATTACATACACAGCAGCCCAGCTCCCTCCTCTCTCACACTCAGTGAGTGTTACATACACAGCAGCCCAGCTCCCTCCTCTCTCACACTCAGTGAGTATTACATACACAGCAGCCCAGCTCCCTCCTCTCTCACACTCAGTGAGTGTTACATACACAGCAGCCCAGCTCCCTCCTCTCTCACACTCAGTGAGTATTACATACACAGCAGCCCAGCTCCCTCCTCTCTCACTCTGACACTCAGTGAGTGTTACACAGCAGCCTTGCTCCCTCCTCTATCTCCTCCCCCCCTCCTCTCTCCTCCCTTTCTTCCAGTCTCTTGTTTCTCTCCCCCCAGCCTGGCTCCCATCTCCCTGCCCCTGCTCTTCCTCTCCATAGACACTCTATCCTCTGCCCCCAGCGGCCCTGATTTTTCCCTCTGCATTCTCCCCCTGCACTGGAAGGGGTGGGGAGACAGGACCCCTACTACAGACCATCACTGGGGTCCAACCCTGGCACAGACAAGCCCCTGCATTGAGAAGCCAGCCCAGTGGGGTGAGTGTTTCCTTTAACATGTTGTTGCTGATGTTTTAGGGTGGGGAGGGAGGGGTAGGAATCAGGCATGTACCCCCATCTATTCCCAAGTACAGGACTCCCTGCCCCCATACCCATCCTTCTAGAAGCACAGAGGCCTGTTGCATGGGAAGATGACTAAAGCAAGAGGCCTCTTCTGGGTGTGTGGTGTAACCCTTTCCTTGTCCTTTTTAATCATTTAACCCATTCACCGCTGAAACCAGGCACTGCACCCCTCTATTGCCCCCTGGGCATTGCAGAGCTGAAATCATGTTTCAATCTTCTGAATAAATATTTAAAGGTCTGCAGATCCTCCCCTCCCTCCCTCCCCCATCCCTCTCTCTCTTCCTAACTGTACACATTAGTTAGTGCTTGCAGATAGCTCCAAAAACAAACACTCCCCAGCCCTAAAATAATGGTAACCCCACAAAAACTCTCATTGTAGATGCAGTGTCCTGGGTGCATGGTATCCCCCTCTGCAAGCTGAAATGTGTGTGTTTTTATTATGGTTCGCATCACTTAAGTTTTATTTTGTTAGTAGATTAAGTGCCTTTTCATACCCTCTTTGTTTCTGGGGGAGGGCTGTTTCTGGGAGGAAGTCTGGGACAGAGAACAGTTATTGTGTGTGTGTGTGTGTGTGTGTGTCCCTTTTGTCAGAAGGAAAGCCTTTATCTTAAATGTTTATTTGTGAACACTATCTCTTTACATTCCCCAACCCCTCCCAGATTTCCCAAAAAACTAAAGATAAAATAAAGTGCATGTATGTAAATGCACATGTATGTAAATGCATGCATGTATGTATATGTATGTGCATGTGTGTATATGTATGTATGTGTACATTATACTATTCTTTTTCTGCAAACTTTGCATTGTAATTCTGATGACAGGTCTTAATATTTCATTGATTTTTCTTTCATTTTGGGGAGACATTTCACTGTTTGAACTATGCATTCCAATTCTTTCAGACTTGATGATTTACTGGTATAGACATTTCTTACACATTGCTTTGCTAAAAGCCTTGAAAAACCTGCTTCAATAATTTAAGACCTTTCCCCCCTCCCACCTTCCCAGTTTAAATATTTTAGGAGTGGCTTTTAAAAAAAAAAAAAAAGACTATCATGGTTATGTAATTCAGATACGTTATGATGTGTTTATTTTAATACATAATACTTTATATATAGGTTTTCCCACTAGCAGTAGCATTAATTACGAGATGCTGTGTGAGTAATGATGTTTGTAAATGGAGAGATCCCATATGAGTTCTGCTTATTCCTAGCAGGGTGTGAGGACTCCTTGTGTGCTGCAGTGATTGTCAAGCAGGGCTGTAAAAGCAAGAAAAGGCAATGATTTATAGCTGGGCAGGAATGCATCATGGGAGTTGTAGTCCCAGACCAGATCTGTACCAGTTGGTTATCAGTCTTTTGGCTGCCTGAGATCCCTTAGAGTTGTAGTCCCAGAACAGATGGTTACGAGCCTTCTGGCTGCCTTTGATTCCTGAAATAAGATCTTAGTTTTAATTTCGTTGTCACCTGGAAGCAAGGTGACAGATAAACTGATGACTGTTGTATTATCAGTAATGCAAAGTGATTAGTGCCCCAATAGCCGAATTGTAACAATTTTACAAATCAGTCATTAGTTTTCTTTTTAATTTTTCTTTTTTTTTTTTTTTTTTATTTAAAATTTAAACTTAGCTTTTATTCTGGAAATTTCACAGTGGATCCATGAGCATGATGAGGGCATTCTAAATTACGTGAACCCAGTAATAAAAAAAAACAAAAAACCCCATATAAAACGAAATAATAATTTAAAAAATTGTATACTTCCCACTAAATTTAAAATGCAATATCGGCCCGCTAGTCACAAAGTGTCTGTCATGTTCAGCTTTATGGAAGTTGTAACTTGTTAGCACGTAATCCTTAATTGAGTCACTTATATGAAATCATGGATTGCAGCGTTGACATTCCTGGTGAATGAACTCCTAAGTAGCAGTCATATCTGGTGAAAAGCGACCACTAACAGCAAGGAGACCTCTGGCCTTTATATATCGCCTGGTAATCCTCTGGTTAAACTGGTAGTAATTACAGATGTTTTGTGGTGATTCTTAAAAGGCTTAATGAAACTTCTAAATTTGTAATATTTTTTTTAAATTTTTTTTTTTACCAGCTATTCTCAAAGTTGGCTACATCGAAAGTCTGGAATTTTTTATATGGCACTTATAAAAGTCATTTACAAAATATTGCCTGCCAACTGTCTCTGAGATCCTGAATTTAGGTCAAGCTGTCAAGATGGCATTAAGTAGATATTTTAGGCAACTTTTTTTTTATTTTATTTTTTTATTCCCAAATTGGACCTTGAGAAGTCCACCTTGGGCACAGAATGTAGAGAAATTATGTTGCTACATTTTTCCCAGAATTCATAGCGCATTACCAGTGTCCATTACTAAGCGTACTGCGTAAATGAAGGGTGAAGTCTGGAACATGATGTCTCTCTCCCGTTCCCTCCCTCCCACATTTGGAGCAGAACTATTAAATGTCTAGTTACATAGAGAGTATTTACATGTATTTATGCCCATTTTCAAAAGGTAACACACTAATGGGTTTATTCACTGAACCGCGAATTGTAGCGACTCAAACTCCAATAGGTAAATGTTGTGTTCACAACACTAAACTGTGACTATACTAGAACTGGAGAATTTTTCCAGATTAGCTGTTTTGAGGATAAACCAGAACTCATCGTTATGATTATTTAAAATCGCAACAAACCTACAATGTATGACTTACAGGTATATGGGTGTTTCTTGACTTGTGCCTCTCTTATAGTTTAATTTATACTCCCGTTATACCGAGCCAACTTACCACTGAGCTTTTCATTGGACAGTAGCTGAAAAGCACGTTTTAATTAACAGTAACAAATATTCTGGTAGCCACTAAAATTTTGCTCAGTGTTGTCTTTTATTTTTTTATTTTTTTGCACTGCGCTTGTCTCTTGGTCATATGAACACTCATCAATAAGCGTATTAAGTGCATTTACATTTTTTTATTAAATCAATCTGGTACTATTGTACCGAAAATCCCAGCTTCCGACCAAAAAATAAATAAATCATATTTTGAGGACATTCTTTGCAGTTCAAAAGGTTGGCTGACTGTTTGCATTTGTAAAAGTTAGGTTTTTATGGGCCTAGGATTATGAATTGCAATATATATATATATATATATATATATATATATATATATATATATATATATATATTCTAGTCAATTGGCAATTTAAATCTTTTAATTTTATTTTTATTTACATTTTTTATTTTTGTTGTGCGGGTAAGTACAACGAAGCCTGTATTTCCACAACAGCATTAACAAGCACAGTCATAGTAAACATATTATAACATAATTATGGCATGCAAAGAATTAGCACATTTTTATGATCTTTAGCAACTCAAGATATCAGCATTGTGTTGAGAAAAATAAACAAGTTGCATACCAATACGTTTGGGAAAGAGATGCATGTTCGGTGTGAGGGAAGAGTATTCGTGTGAGCAAGTGCTTGTATGGTAAGACCTTCTCTTGTCGCAGTGAAGCGTGTGAGTAGACCAGCGGTGAGTGAGTGTGAGGTAAGCAATGAATAAATACGGTTGGTATTTAATCGATTAACTTAGTGATGCCCCTGGGGATCCCCTGATTAGTCAAGGAAGATTGCCTTGCTTCCAAGGCCTAGTAGGTAGTGGTGTGTGAATTGAATCCTTTTATAACAATAAATTTGCTGTGATATAAAATAAACTCTTATGAGTGTTCAACATGAGTACATAAGGGTAAGAAGCAATGGGCACTTTGCCGGTTGTGTCGTCCAAGCCTGGTTCTCGGATCAGCCGATGCCATGCGGGGGCAGAGTGTAGTCCCACTGTACAGATCTTTGTTTCAGTCTCATTGGCCCAAGAGTATGGGGGCGTAGAGTCCTTGTGCAGTGAGGATGTAGGCTTGGGGGGTATGCTGAGTCCTCATTGTGATTCCCAGTGCTTGGTGTGCCCCATGGCCTGGTCGTGGGCTGCTGTGGATCTGAGAGGGTTTACCTTATGCTGTCACCATGTTGGGCCTCTCACCCCGCCATCTCCCCAATCTGTTTGGACGAGCCAAGCCCCTCCGTGGCTCATGCCGGGTCTCAGCTTGCAGGTGAGGTGGTCTTGGGTGCTCCCGGGGCCCTTGAAGGCCGATTTTGGCCTGCTGCTGCGTTCTGTGAGGCTTCATGAGTCTGACCTCAAGATGGCCCCTCGCCAGTGCCGGCCTTTCGTGGGTGTGGAGTTCTGGGGGGTTTTCTGCGTCCCTCCGTTTGACCACCCGTGGTGGGCTCTGTGGCAGGTCGTCTGGTTCCGGAGGTCTCATGCAAGCCTCTAACTTCTCCCAAAAGGAGCTGAAGATTCTGTCTAGTCCGAGCTCCATTTCCAGCCTTTTACTGCATGGGTCGGCCTCGTTGATACTAGGCTCGGAACTCCGTGATAGTGTTGCGTTCTCACCGCTTTGCAGGGGGAACGTGTGCAGATAGACCGGGATAACTCCCGCCGGTCCAGAGAGGGGAGAATGAGGGCTCAGATTCTGATTCCCGGCTTTTCGCAGCAGCAGGAGAGCGGCCGTCTCTCCCGTTCCAGCCATGCTTGTAGGCCTCACAAGAGTTTCGGGAGAGTAGTGCTTGAAATGTCACTTGGGTGGTGTCATCTTGTTCACCACGGTGTCACCTCTCTCTTGGTGGCCTTTATGTGTCGTGTACTTTCCGTTTTGTTAGCAAAAATCTGCTTTATCTGCCCCTTAGTGTCCTCTCAGCTCTGCGGTTATGCCCCACCCCATCGTCTTTTTATTTATTTGTTAATAAGTGTATTGTTAGGAAGCCAGGTGATAATTGGCTACTGTTTATAATATGAATGTGTAAAGAATGCTCACATCCTTTTGTAGCAATAGGGTGTTTTATTTCAATACATTTCATACAATGCCTTTTCCTGAGTGAGTACAATGCAGTTTAAAGCATGCAAATCTTCCTATTCCCTAACCGTTTTGTACTATTAGAACTTGAAGATTTTATACAGATTTTCCCTTGTTGGAATCCTAAGTGCCACTCTGAATATTGAACAGTGCTACAATTGCATTAACGAACATAGAGACCTCACTTAAATTTATTTTATTACTGCCAGAAAACTTTGACATGAAGAGTAGGTCACTCATTCATAGATTTATTATTTTTGTATTTAATTTTTTTTCACAGCCAAATAATCTTAACATAATTGCAAGGTAATTCATAAAATACCAAAATTCAGTGAATTCGTTTAAAATGGTAAAATTTGAGCTGAAATATGCAACTTGCCTAATTTAGCCTCAATTTTTTTTTTTTCTTATTTATTTCCCGAAAAGTTTGTGTTTAGTGAGTAACCCTCTTGGTGTAATTTTCTCTCTTTTTGTGTGTCTGTGTGTGTGTGTTTCTAGCGCCTTTTTAAATAAATGTTGATATAGCCTGCAAAAGACAGACAAAACAGAGAACAACAAAAATGGTTTATTCATAGTACCATGATGACTTGCCTATCTATATTTTGTATACAATAAACATACTTCCTGTGTTCTATGGCCTGTGGCTATATTGGCAGGAAATCTAAGGAATGCCGATTAGGTGTGTGTTCATTGTCATATATGTATTGAATTCTGGGTGTGTAGTTATAGAAACGCGATCTCTAAGGGGTGCTGTGTTTATGGCAATTGTATAACAAATACTGCCTAATGATATTCTGTGCGCAGGATACTTGCGTGCTCTGGAAAAAGATGTGCGTTTATACATGCCTTTAAATATAATAAACATAGTACTGAGGCTTAAAGTATTTTTTTCCACTCAGTATGCTGTGGGTCAAATTGCAAAATTCCCCATATCATTTAAAGGGACACTGTAGTCACCTGAACAACTTTAGCTTAATGAAGCAGTTTTGGTGTATAGAACATGCCCCTGCAGCCTCACTGCTCAATCCTCTGCCATTTAGGCGTTAAATCCCTTTGTTTATGAACCCTAGTCACACCTCCCTGCATGTGACTTGCACAGCCTTCCATAAACACTTCCTGTAAAGAGAGCCCTATTTAGGCTTTCTTTATTGCAAGTTCTGTTTAATTAAGATTTTCTTATCCCCTGCTATGTTAATAGCTTGCTAGACCCTGCAAGAGCCTCCTGTATGTGATTAAAGTTCAATTTAGAGATTGAGATACAATTATTTAAGGTAAATTACATCTGTTTGAAAGTGAAACCAGTTTGTTTTTTCATGCAGGCTCTGTCAATCATAGCCAGGGGAGGTGTGGCTAGGGCTGCATAAACAGAAACAAAGTGATTTAACTCCTAAATGACCATGAATTGAGCAGTGAAATTGCAGGGGAATGATCTATACTGGGGTAGGCAACCTTTTAACAGCACTGTGCCGATATAGGATTGTGAAATTTTTAAATTGAAGTGTGTTTGCAGCCATATTCTGCTTGTGTTATTTTTACTGTAATTGCTTTGTATCGTTGTATTTGTGCGTATTTGCGCTATTATATTGTATATGTTCATGAGTAGTTTATGGTATTGTGTATGATATGTGGGCTGTGTATGGGGGCTGCTTGTGGAATTGTGTGTGTGGATGGATATGTCACATTGTGTGTTTGGTAGTGTGTGGGGGCTGTTTGGGGTATTGCATGTGAGAGGCTGCATGTGGGGTTTTGTGCATGTATGTGGATTGTTAGTGGTGTTGCGTTTAAGTGGATTGTGTGTATGTTTGTGTGTGGGCTGTCCGTATTATTTGTATGAGGGGAGGGTTATTCTGCATTTCTGTGTATATCTAGCAGTGTGGGTGGCTTCCCTGGGTTCCAGTGGGGACCAAGCCGGACAGATACAGGTCAAGGACAGGAGCTGCAACAGCAACTGCGAGCTGCTTTACTACTGTGTGGATTCCCATTCACAAGTGCTGGAATGAAGTGCTCTGAGATCACTTCCTCTACGTGCTGCAATGCATAAATTGAGGATTGTCCTTCACCACCTCTTCGTATAAGCAGATATCTGAAGTTTTACTGGGACTCCTGATAGGCCGGAGCCTGTTTGGCTCTAGCAGCCTTGAGTGCCGTGCATGGCACTAGTGCCGTAGGTTGCCTACCCCTGATCTATACACTAAAACTGCTTTATTTAGCTAAAGTAATTTAGGTGACTATAGTGTTCCTTTAATATATCTAAATGAGTGTGTGTCTGTGTGTACGTATCTATACATATATTAGCTTGCAGTGTTTAGATAATCAATAAACACCAATGCAGGTTTTCAGCTTACATTATAGAAATAGTAATGAGCAATTTTCTCTGTTCTTTGCATGTTGGGTTCTATCTGGATGATCTTCTAGCCAGAGAGTTTATTGGGTCCTGCCAAAACACCTGGAGACGATGGCAAATAACTATTTTCTTGAAATCTCTTCAGCTCAAGCCTTTTTAGAGTTTTGGAAATCTCTTGCCAATGTAAATGGACAAGGGCGGCTCTAAATGTTAAGGGCCCTTGCTTTAAAATGATTTAAAGGAACACTCCAAGTACCATAACCACTACACTACAGCGGAGTGCCCTGGTGCCCTCTTATTAAAAGTAATTAAATTGTTTTAGATTGGTTTGACTTCTTATTTGGAGTCTACCTTACCCCACAACCACTACTTCTTTTGGAGTGCCGGAAGCTCTCTGTTGGAGCCAAGCCTGGAAGTGCAGGACTTAGTGCTTTAGTTGAGCTTAGGAGAGCACACAATCCTAGCTTCCAGCTCTTGCTCTCCATTGAACGTAGTGCAGGTGGGTCCCAGGTAAGAATTAAAACTATTCTAACACTGCTGGACTACCTATAGTGCAAGGGCACCTAGGCAGCCATGGCACCATAACCACCACAGTGTTGGTTATGGATCTTGGAGTGTTCCTTTAAGAAAGCTTATCTCTAAAATGAGTGATGGACTCACAAATAATCCATTCCATCTGTTTCCTAAATACATTATGGCAGGTCTGTGTCATATTTGTTTTGGTCTCTTCTTCCATTCTTGGCTCTACGTCGTAAACGGTCTGTTTATAGGATAGTGCATCCTTTGTGAATGTATGCTTAGTAGGTGCCATGTAGGTGAGTGATGGCATTTGTGTTTCCTGCGGGTGAAGTTTAAATGCCCTGCAGTATGTGATATCAAGCTCCTAGAACGAGCAAATAAACTTCATTTCCTCATAGTTTGTCTACTGGAACCCTGAGAAAATGTAGGTATGGAACAGAATTTGAAATGCAGTTTTGTTTTTGTTTTTTGTTCGTTTTTTTAAATGTTTGTTTTTTTTTCTCCCTCTCCCTCTCTCCCTCTCCCTCTCCCTCTCCCTCTCCCTCTCCCTCTCCCCTCTCCTCTCCCTCTCCCTCTCCCTCCCTCCCGCAGCAGAATAAAGAAAATGCTCATATAGTGCAATAAAACTCTCATACTCCACTATAGTCATTGTTTAAACATTTTGGTCTAAATTTTTATTTTTTGGCAAATCGGCACCTCTTCATAGAGATGCATTGAATCAATGCATCTCTATGAGGAAAATTCAGCATCCCCATGCAGAGTGTGGAGACATTGAACGGCACTGCTGCCTACTGTGCAGCACTGAGCCAGGAAGCACCTCCAGTGGCCACTTGGAGGTGTCCCTTAGGGCAATGTAAAAACTGCCTTTTCTCTGAAAAGGCAGTGTTTGCATGAAGATGCCTGAAGGCAATGATTATACTCACCAGAAAAAACTACATTGAGCTGTAGTTGTTCTGGTGACTATAGTGTCCCCTTAAGTTATGTTGCCAGGAGGTCCTTGGGTGCACTCTTGCCTTAAGGGATTATCTTGAATGGTTTAACCCCATAGGCTGCCTCCAGCAGAGATCTCAAGGTCCCCTAGTTGTCATCTGGCTTCTGAATTATAGGAAGCACAAAGGGACACTATAGTCACCAGAGCCACTAGAGCTTAATGTAGTGGGTCTGGTGTCTATAGCCTGTCCCTGCAAACTTTTAACTGCGAACATCGCTTTTTCAGGGAAAAGGCAGTATTTACATTGCTTCTTAGTAACACTTCCACACTAGTGCTTCCTCCTGTGTCAGTGTTGCACAGTGTGCAGCACTGGCTTTCAGTGTCTCCCTGCTCTACGTGGAGGTGCTGAACGTTCCCCATAGTGATGCTTTGATTCAATGCATTTTTATGAGGAGATGCCAATTGATGCAGTACCATATATTTCTGCGCATGCACAATAGCCTCCTAATGCTTTTCTATGGGAAAGCATTGGATTGACTTAGACAATCAATCTTGATGATCTCAGCTATGGAGGTGGGGCCACGCTGGGCCAGCCGTGGTGAGACCGGTGTGGGGAAAAAGGTAAGTATACTGTTTTCCCCTGCAGTCTAAGGGGAGTTGGGACCCTAAATAGTTAAACACTATAGTGCAAGGAATGCATGCTTGTATCTCTGACACTATAGCCTTCATCTAACTTATGTATTCATTACAAAGGAATACATACTGAGGATATATATATATATATATATATATATATATATATATATATATAAAATGTGTGTATGTATATGTAATCCTTATACAGTTTGTAGACCCAGAAAGGTCACAATACTTCTGTGCCATTTGCTTGCCTGACCTATTTCTGGTACGTTCTCTGTGCTGTACCTACAGTTTCTTGTCCTTGTGTGCTAAGATGTCATGGTTAACTAAGTGAACGGAACTTTGCTGGTAGGGTTGCTGCTTTTTAATAGACGCCGACGTACTGTTGCTTGGCAATCGTGCAATGACGTCATGGAAACCAGAAATGGAATTTAGTGTGATTAAATTGCTCATGCACATTAATAAAATCTTGGAGGAAAACAGTTTAGTGTCTGGCTGCTAAAAGCATACAGAGAAATGCCAGCTGTATACATGTACAGATGTTTCTAGGAGTTATCCTGTGTCTACAGAAAGAAAATCCTGATATTGTTTTATTTTTTAAACAAAACAAAAAAAATCTTATGTTAAGCTGTATGATAAATAAATTGTGTTAAAATTTGTCTCTATGCCATCACATTGAAGTAAAACATTAGTCATATGAGGAAAAACATTTACAAATATTGAGTCAAGCTCAAACACAGAAATAGAGAATTTCTCGGTAGCTTGCTCTTCGGTAAATCACTCAGGTCTCAAAATAGTTTTTGCTCACGTATGCCATTACAAGTTCTCATACTCTATTTTTGGTGCAATGCATTAACTAGGCTCTCTCTCCTCAAGTTTGAAAGGTAATCCAGATGTGGAGCCCATGCTCACTGTGCCTAGAGGGATATCCGCTACATCTCACTGACGAGCCCCAAAGAAGGCCAAAACTATCGTCCGAGGTTGCTGTATCTCTCGTGCAGAGAGAACTCGCTGACAATTCTGTTCTGGACTGCCCTTACGGGTGGGATAAGACTGCTATGCCCTGGAGCTGATTCTCACTGTAATGGCACAAGTAAACACAAACTATTTTGAGACCTGAGCAGGGATTTAACGAAGGGCAAGCTAGTGAGTTTCTCTAAGCTTATTTTCCGTTCTCATATTCTCTCTTTTAGTTGAAACTCAAACATCACTACCCATGATTTCTAATGTTGTGATGCACACTGCTGTATGTACCTCTATCACGTAACTGGGAGCTTCCAACTTGGCTGCCATCTATGTCATTGATTTTAAATGTTTGCCAGTTCAAGAAGACTGGAAGCAGTGAGGCTGCATGGTGGGCCCTTGATGTATGTCAAACCGTACTAAAACAGATTGCCAGATTATGTTGGTACAACCCATTGTAAATTTTTCTTTTTTTTCTTTCTTTCCTGGGGTTCATGGAGCGACTCTCCCTGCCTCCACTACTAATGCTGGAGAGCTTATCTGCAGTTCTTCTAAGCTAACCCCTGTAGGAGTTGGTTGAGCAGAGCTAACGGAAACGCCTGCTTAGGAACTTTCCGCACTTTTACTGCAAAGCCCCCACCACGGCAGGAGGTCAAACAGTTTAACCCCCCTGCCCTCTCCCCTCACCTGTGTTTATGTTTAAAAATAAAAAATTCCAATGATAAGAAGACTGGTTTGAGTAAGAAATACGTTATTCAGTTCAGTTTGATTTTTTTTATTTTTTTTTGAGAATGTTTGTACCTCTTCTATTTGCCCAGACTTCCTTTATTTTTATATTGCCTGAACATGAAGGTAGAAATATGTTGGGGAACTTCAACTTTTATTGTTATCTAAAGTCGTAATGTAGTACCATATGCTCATGCTATATAATAATGTGTGCTAACATAATTATTTCATCATTCTTCATAAAAGGCAATGTGACCTGTCTGTTTCTGAGAACCCCTTACTCAGGAACTCAGCCTCACCATGAAACTCACTATCCTTACTCAGCCTCGCCATGAAACTCACTATCCTTACTCAGCCTCGCTATGAAACTCACTATCCTTACTCGGCCTCGCCATGAAACTCACTATCCTTACTCAGCCTCGCCATGAAACTCACTATCCTTACTCAGCCTCGCCATGAAACTCACTATCCTTACTCAGAGACTCAGCCTCGCTATGAAACTCACTATCCTTACTCAGCCTCGCCATGAAACTCACTAGCCTTACTCAGAGACTCAGCCTCGCTATGAAACTCACTATCCTTACTCAGCCTCGCCATGAAACTCACTATCCTTGCTCAGAGACTCAGCCTCACTATGAAACTCACTATCCTTACTCGGCCTCGCCATGAAACTCACTAGCCTTACTCAGAGACTCAGCCTTGCTATGAAACTCACTATCCTTGCTCAGAGACTCTGCTTCGCTATGAAACTCACTATCCTTGCCCAGGCAGCGAGGATTCTGAGACGGGAGAGGAATAATGTCTGTATGCATCAGACTTCTAGACTAGCTGTATTGACATATGCAAATTGACAAAATGGATGGTTTGCTTAGGAAACACAAATTTCAGACAGGAAGATGCTAGCTGGGTTATTTCCTAAAGAGAAAATTATTGGGAATTCAAAGAGAATAATAAATGTAATGGACACTGTAGGCACCCCGACTACTTCATCGCAGTGAAGTGGTTTTGGTGCCTTGTCCCCTTGTTTATAACCCTGCAAGTTAAAACATTGCCAATCTGCAGAACAATGTTTTTTTCTTGCAATGTTTTAATTGTGAGGTTTAAATGCCTCTAGTGGCTGTCACTCAAACTCTATTTCAGCGTGGCATTTTGTTGCACAGTTGCACTAGCCTCCCAATGCTTTGCATTCATCATGCTATAGTGTTCCTTTAATACAGGGTTGGGGAACCTTCTGTCCTCCAGATGTTGCTAGCATTATACGAGATGTAGTCCAAAACATATGGAGGGCTAAAAATTCCCCACCCATGCTTTAAGGTCTACATGGCCATATTGAGATAAATTAGCTGTCATGCTTCTAATTCAGCAGCTTGGCCTTAAATTTTAAATTCACTTTGAAATACTGACAATTCTAACTAAAGTTAAAAACTCTGTGAGTCTTCTCTCTTACAAAACTGTGCGAGCGAGAGCATATGAAAATATTGATCATGTGTATTGGAATTCTATTATGTGTGATTTTTTTTTTTTTTGTGTTTACAATAATATATAATTTAATGATTGGTAGTGGTTATTGTGTTTGGAGTGTTGTGTAAAGAAAGTTATTTGCTAAAGGCAACTTGCATGCAATTGTTGCTATTGTACCTCAATTTGCATATTTAATTCTAAGCATTAGCTAATCTTAGTGGGGAATGTAGTTCATGCACCTTCGTGGTGACAAGATTTGCCATCACCGTGCTATATCATCTCCTATTGTAATATCCTGTGCTGTGCTGTGCTGCATGCCATTTAAATGCACACATCCCACCTCCTCCCCCCTTCCCCATCAGGATGAATCTTGTCTGCATGGACAGAGCCCAAGTGAGCGTGTGTGGCGGGTGCAGGAACCTGTTTGGGCTTGCTTTATGACCTAACAGGATGCAGACCTGTGCAATTATGTCCTTATAAAGACCGAGATGTGGTGTCTCATTGGGAATAAACACTTTCAAAGTCAGGTTCGCGGACTTTAATAATTTATTGCAGGCCCCAATCCTTAATAACCCTGCTACTTACAGGAGTTTTACACTATAACGTCCTATTCTACGATAGAACGTACTACTCTGCTGAGCATTCCACACTGGGATCTTGTAAATATATGAGTATCTCAACATACAAACCTTTAGCCAGATATTGTGTACCGATGCAAAGGGTAAAAAAAACTATTTTTTGGTATTATTTGATAAAAGCATTAAAAAAATATATATATATTTTAAATCCTTTTTATGCTATGAGTTCTGTACAATTTTATATGTGCTGCTTTTAATGCCTCTGCTGTCGCTCTATATCCAGTTTTGACTGCAAATGGATTTAAATGCAGAATAGTCAATGAATGTCCCTATTGTACTCCCTTTCAGTATTACACCCCACTCTTTCTGTATTCTAGAATGGCAGAGAGAGCATTTTCTATCTCCGGTATATCACAATATGCTCTTGTGTTTCTTCCTGTTTGGGTTACATAAGGACCATTCCATAAGCAGACTTTATAGGATCATGCATTGTCTTGCTGTTTAGATGCCAGTATTTAAACAGGATCTGTCACCTAAACAGCTTATTTTGCAGACCTCCCTTATTGACTCTGTAACCAAGGTGTGTGTGCATTGATTGGACACTAACTGTTCCATTCCAGTATCCCATTTTCTTTTCACAATAATTAATTACCCCCTTAAGGACCAATGTTTGTGCTAGTCCTTCTGTTTCAAGACATGTCTGGCACATCACTAGCCTTAAAAATTTTAAACAGACACTCTAGGCCAGGGTTAGACAACCTTTGTCACTCCAGATCTTGTGGACTACATCCCCCATAATGCTCTTATACCCATAATGCTGGCAAAGCATCATGGGAGGTGTAGTCCAAAACATCTGGAGTGCCGAAGATTGCCTAGGCCTGCTCTAGGAAATGTAACAATCATACCTTAATGCAGTGTTTCTTAGCTACATATACTGTCCGAGCAGCCTTAATAATGTAAACTTTGCCTTTTCTTTGAAAAGACAGTGTTTACACTGATGCCTAATGCCAACTCTAGGGGCTTTTACTCTGATAGCCACTATAGGTGCTTCAATGGAGTCACTGTATGCTTCCACTAGAGAGGAATTGACTCAGTGCATCTCTATGTGGAGATGCTGATCGATGCAGTGTGGTGATGTGTTGCGCATGCATACTAGTCTCCAGATGCTTCTCTATCTAGAAGTATTGGATTGACTGAGATCTTTAGGATGCACCATTGTGCCAGGGAAGTAAAGTTGAGTAAAACTTATTTCTTTTAAAGGATCACTATAGGGTCAAGAACACAAACTTGTATTCCTGACCCTATAGGGTTAAAACCACCATCTAGTCCCCCTGGTCCACTCATACCTCCATAAATATAGTACAAATCTTACTGTATTCAAGCCTGAAACTGTAGCTCTACCTGCTGTTAGATTTAGAACAACAACAGTCTGTTGACCTCAGCAGAAGTGGTAGCCTGATCCAATCACAGTGCTTCCCCGTAGGATTGGCTGAGACTGATAAGGAGGCAGATCAGAGGCAGAGCCAGCATGATTCAAATACAGCGCTGGCCAATCAGCATCTCCTCATAGAGATTAATTGAATCAATTAATCTCTATGAGGAAAGATCAGTGTCTGCATGCAGAGGGAGGAGACACTGAATGTTTGGAGGCATTTTAGGCAGCCATGACCCGTGAAGGATCTCTAAACGCCATATGAGGAGTGGCCAGTGAAGTTATCACTAGGCTGTAATGTAAACACTGCATTTTCTCTGAAAAGACAGTGTTTATAGCAAAAAGCCTGAAGGTAATTATTATACTCACCAGAACAAATTCAATAGACTGTAGTTGTTCTGGTGACTATAGTGTCCCTTTAATTTATTCTGGAGATGCCCAATAATTCAAATAGGAAGGGTAACACTGTAACTTTAGGAATACATGTATGCATTGGTAACGCTATAGTATTCCTTTGGAGAATGTGTTTCTCATACCTCTCTCCTGTACCTTAAACTTACCAAGTCTCCAAATAAGGATTTAATTAGACAAGAGACAACTCCGTAATCGAGAAATGTAATTGGACAACTGGTGCTGTTTTGGAGCAACGTGCTAAAGTTTACATAGTTACATAGTTACATAGCTGAAAAGAGACTTGCGTCCATCAAGTTCAGCCTTCCTCAGAAATGTTGTTGCTGTTGATCCAAAAGAAGGCAAAAAACCTGGTCTGAAGCACTTCCAATTTTGCCACAAACTAGGAAAAAATTCCTTCTTGACCCCAAAATAGCAGTCAGATGTCTCCTTGGATCAATCAAGATGCGTTCTGTTGGTCTCCAGGGTAATTCCTATGTATTTCTCAGTTTTCCCCAGCAGAACACAAGTTTTTGTCTTGATGAATCTTCCCCTATGTCCCTTGTAAATGCTAAGCTTTATCCCATGATGCTGTGTGTGTTTGCATGCACGCAGCCAAGGAGGGAAGAACATAGTCACTGGATGCCAAGGCTACGCCTTGCATTCAGTGCAAATTGGGGGGAAAATAAGTGTGTGTTTATTTTTGGAAGGGGTGGATGGCAACCCAGCAATCCTTTAGAATGCTACCTTACCATCTATCTGTCATAACTTCATTGTTTACATCACTAGTTCTCTAAATGAACGAGCTATCCAGAAAACAAGGACATGTGCACACTTTCTTTGTAACCAATGTATATGCTTGTCTATCATTGCACAAACGTACACTTGCACTGGGAGGGTGATTTCGGATTTTTTGGCTGATGTGTAGAACGTTCAACCCCTGCAGACATCTACCGGTGCCAAATGGCACACATGACTCTTACACAGGAAGCAAGTGCTGGGTCGTGAAAACCGGCTGGGCCCGGTACTTTATAACATTTATCTTAAACTTTCTCTTTTTGTTCCTGGAACGATTTTAAAAGGGAAAGTCCTATTTGCAAGAAAAATCCACATGAAAAGGATGTTGCATTTTTCTACATATGCAAAAAAATTGCTTCTAAATGTCCTTTCTAGGGAACTCCTGTACTATGTTCATGGCATCATATAAGAACTATGTGGGCTTTCCCTTGCCTTCTGTTCAGTGTGATGGTTCTTGAAAATGTGCCGGGTGATTATGAGGTCACTTGGGGTGAAGGAAGAAGGTTGGAGTAGGTCATAGGCCACTTTTAACACTTTAAGGTGTTGGCAATAAAAGACGAATGTTTAGCCTGACAGTATTGATGCATTACTTTTTGCTACGTAATTAAATTAATTCCTTGGCAGTCAGGACGTTGGAACGGTAGGACTCCGAAGCAGCGCGTCCTTTATAGATCTCCTCGCTGTCTGAGTGGGCAATGGCTTGCAAAGCTTTATCCAGATTCCCCGTAGCAGCGAGAAATTGAACTTGGGTTTCCTGAGCTGGATATAGATCTCCGACCTATTGTCTGCAATCTGCAGGCAACCTCCTGTTTTACACATTACCCAGGCGCATTCCAAAACTCGCCGTGCTGCGGGGTACAGTGTTTGTTTCACTGGCTCCTAGCCAAAGATCAGAGAAAGGGGTAAAAAAAAACAAAAAACAATGGGAAATGTTTTTTTTTCCCCTCTGCCATGTTTTCTATTCTGTTCTGTTTTCCCAATTCGGATGAGGAAATCATTTATTTTTTTTATTTAAAGAAACTGCCATAGTGTAGGTTTACGCAATCTGCAAGACTAATTTCATATTATCCATACATTGTTCTATCTAAGTTGAATTGGTTACTAGGCATGTAGATAGAAGGTTGCAGTTTAACTTGTATCACACATAGAAATCGTTCGGCTCATATATTCGTGTCATACTTCAGTTACTCGTTTCGAGTGCATTTTAACACATTGAGACTTTGAACATAATGTTGCATCCTGTATACGTTGGTTCTAAAAGAACTATGGCAATGGTATTTTGCTGCTGGTGCCAATCTTGGCTTGTCTGTTGGGTCACTGTGGATTGCCAAGTGCTCAGATTGGTCACTTCGCGCATCCCTTTGTAACGGGGCAAATTAATTTCCGCTCTATGACAAAATCGCTGTCTTCACCTGGCTATGATTTAACAGTATGGATATCCATGAGAGATCTGAAGAAATAGCTATAGGCCTAATGAATGTACCAGCATAACAACTGCAAAGAGCTGTCGTGGTTAAAGCTGTTACAGTGTCCCTTTAATGTACATGATTGTTAAAAAAAAAAAAAAAAAAAAAAAAGCTTAAGTGGATCTGTCACTTTCGAGGTATTTGCATTATTTTTTCATCCAAAGGTGATCTAGATAAATTTACCATCAGCATCTTCTTTGTGGAGGTAGTTTATGGTTTCTGGTTTTTCATTTGCCAGGGGTTGCGTCAGTGCTGTACTCCGTACAACAGAGAGGGCTATGGAGGATTCCTGTTAGACCGCGGTAACCTCCACAGTTAACATCTCGCAGTGAGCAAGACCATGCCTGAATCCCAAAGTCGTCACTTGTGGGCTGCTGGAATTGGACACAAGTTGGCAACTCTAGCTCTCAATCCTTACAATAAGACAATGTAGGGTTATTTACTAAAGGGAGAATCCAAAGTGAATTTCAAATTTAAGGCCAAAGTATCCAAACTTAAAGCATAGCTCACTTTTTCCAGTTTGGAATTTTTTTACCTTAACTTTGAAATTCACCCTGAATGCCCACGTTGGGGAATAATGTTTGTCTTATGATATCTTTGGATTGTCTTGTCATATTCCAATGCAGCCGTTTCACAATTAAATATTGAGATGTGATACATAATTTGCATTTATGTAGTGCACTTATCCAGGGAACTTTGTACAACGTGTGTGTATTATTTGATACTCTGTTACTTCGCTATGTAATCAATGCATTAAGACTTTGAATATAAAAATCAAGTAAAATCTTATAGGCTCATATCTGCTATTTAGGCACAGATAGTTTGTGTCAAGGTGAGAAGTGCATTGGAATTTTGGACGAAGTCTCGAGGTCTGCATAGTTTGACGTAGTGGGACTGGTTAGCATAAGGTCAGGCATGGTAGGCAAGGAAACATTCTTTTAAGAGGTTGTTTTGGGGATGTTGAGATGGTCTATCTACTGGACTGGATGCCAGAGTTTTATTTTCACAGAATATACACACCTGTAGGAAGAAGTGGGTAAGAATCTGAATTTACCAGGAAATCTAATGACCGATAAGCGATGAGAAGTGGGGAGGTATAAGCTGGTGGAATGCTTTGTAGTGTTAGTAAGGAATGTGAAAACTGAGGTTCTTTGATGGGTGGGAGGCTATTGTCTTTGCAGCATGCAGGTGACACGAGGAGATGATGAGGATGGGTTTAGAATGATACAGGCAAAATAATGTTTTTCAATGGTATTATGCAAGACAATGAAAGTCAAGGGGGGAGTGAGATACCCTCCTTTTGAAGATGGAGTTGAGAAGGAATTTAACAATGGACAAAATAAGGTATGTTTTGTTTAATTCTTTTTAGAATATATATTGAAGTGGTGTAAATGGTCACTGGTAGTCGTTGAGTTCATGCATTTGTCATAGTGTGCAGATTGTGAAATCATGGCTGAATGCTGAAATGAGGAAGGAAATGGTAAAAATTTGAAGGGGAGATAATGCGTGGTTTTCACACACAGTGAACTCAGAATTTTAGCAAATTAAATCTGATCGGCATAACCAATTCTAAAATAGCTGGTTTGAAAATAATATCCACCTCCATAAAAGTCATGTATTTTTTTTAAATGTTTGCGTCACTTTTGCCAATCTCTACAGTTAGGGGTTTAGTGGATGAATATTCTGAGTATATTGTTGGGGGGAAAAAGATAAAGCACAAAACTGGATAAATCTGGAAACAAAGGGGTCTTGAAGCTGTGAATAGATCTAAGGTCAGACAGAAGGTCTGTATAAAGGATAATATAAATGACTGAACATTCTATTCCTTATCAAATGATCTTAGAGACAGCTTTGTAGGTCAATGGTGTTTTTTGTTGTTGTGGTTTTTTTTTTAAAGAATTTTTTTGAAATGTAAATAAATATATATTACATTTTTTTTAAAATACTCTAGATTACAGTTTGGATCTCACATTCAATCTTGGAGTTCTGTATTTTCATTTGCAAACCACGTGACGGTCTCACAGGGTGTGAAGTTAAATAAATTCATATGTACAATGGTGGCAAAGACATGGGTGAAAAAACAGAAGTAAAGTCTCCCATGCTCTGGAGACCTTCACAAAATTAGTTTTTGCTACACTTTGATACCTGTCCAGTACATTGCATCTTTTAACCCCTTAAGGACACATGACATGTGTGACATGTCATGATTCCCTTTTATTCCAGAAGTTTGGTCCTTAAGGGGTTAAGCAGGTGTTGGATCCCATTGGATATTGAGGTAACAAGGCTGATTTGATGTGACAATCCACCTGGGTACTACAAATGGGACATGAACATTGTTCAGAGATTTTTAATTTTCAGTTCAAACTTTTTTTGTCTTTTGCTATATAGATATAGTTATATTAATGCATTAAATCTTAAAATGCCCACGTGCCATTAGACTGTGCTTTTTAGAGTTTTCTTTGCTTTGTACTCTGTGGGCAAACATAGTAAACTTTCCTGAGCAGGACAACTTGAGGAAATCTAGATTATCCAGGAGCACTCATGGATTTAATTTCCAGATGCCTAATACATTTACCAGACTCCTTTCTTACCCCACCTTATAACAGAAGTCGAAGACGCACACTGATCTTTTCACTCCTTGTTGCACAAGGTCCATTGTATTTTTAGCCTGTCACCCCCTTTCCCCCTCCCCCTCGTAGCCTTTATTTCCTTTTAATATGTTAATGGAGAAAGCCATCTCAGCTGAAACAATCGTTTCAAAGACCAACAAAATCTACAATTGTAATAAGGAACACTCTAACGTTAACAATATATTTAAGGTTAGTGTTCTTTCTTTTAGAGTAGATTACTGGGAACTCCATTAAAAACAAAAACAATGTTTTAAAAAGCCATAGACTGCCCTTTAATCAAGCCCTGAGACAGGGGCGGATCCAGAACCAAATCTCGGGAGGGGCACTTAAGTGGGCTAGAGCGGGGTGAAACAGGCTGCAGCGGAGGAATAGGGGACTCTTGTTTAGGGGATAGAGGCTGTACACATATGCGGCCACACACAGTGATATGGAAACACAATAACAGATACAGACACATAACTGACACAGACACATGCACTGGCACACCCACAGATACAAACCTACACAGGCACACACACACTGGCACACAAACACACTGGCACATAGATACACACATACCTACACATGCACACTGGCGAAACCGCACACACACATCCCTACACATACACAGAATGACACACATACACAGATACAAGGTAATAGAATATACAGGCATAACTCCAGGTACTGAAGGTGTATTTATTGGAGGGTAGAACAACGTTTCAGCCCTTGGGGGCCTTAATCATGTTTAAGTCCCTCTAGGGCTGAAAAGTTGCACTTTTATGTGGTGTTCTACCCTCCAATAAATACACCTTCAGTACCTGGTGTGTTGCCTGTATATTCTATTACCTTGTATTGTTGGACGGATTAGCAGAGTCTGTCTAATCCAGAGCACCTTTTGAGGCTGTGGGCCAGAGTGAAAAGCGGAACCTGAGTGCAGTGGATGACGTTGTCTGTGGTACACACACAGATACATACTCACAGATACACATTAACACTCTCACAGATTCACACACTGACACTCTGATACACACAGATGTCCACATACCTAAACATACGCACTGGCACACAGACGCACACGTACACACTGACACACACAGATGTCCACATACCTAAGCATACACACTGACACACACAGATGTCCACATACCTAAACATACACACTGACACACACACAGATGTCCACATACCTAAACATACACACTGACACACACAGATGTCCACATACCTAAACATACACACTGACACACACAGATGTCCACATACCTAAACATACACACTGGCACACACAGATGTCCACATACCTAAACATACACACTGGCACACACAATGTCCACATACCTAAACATACACACTGGCACACACAGATGTCCACATACCTAAACATACACACTGGCACACACAAATGTCCACATACCTAAACATACACACTGACACACACACAAATTGCAGCTTCCATAATGTTAAGCACCCTCCCCTCTGCTTAAATACCTTTTTCTTTGCAGGGAGGTGACTTCCTGAGGCTGGCTGAGCCTGATGGGAGTCTGAAGCTGCAGAGCTCTCTCTCTCTCTCCTCCCTCCTCCTTCTCTCCCAGCTGCATCCTGCATGTTCTCAGCCCGCGCGGTCTGTATGCTGGGAGGAAGAAACAGTCACTTCCTCCCAGCACTCCCTGCAACTTTAAAGGGGCCAGGTCTGCCAAAGGGCTGCAGCACCCAACCAAGCCCCTAATGAGGTGGCTCAACTGACGGGAGCTGCACTATTTTCTCGGGGCAACGGGGCAATTGGACCCCCCCTGGATCCGCCACTGCCCTGAGACCGTCTCCTCTCTGTAACCCAATCTGCCCATGATGTGAACATCAAATTCGATGATTTTTGTTCCAGCCAAATGATTCTCATATAGAAGTGTTGAGACCTACGATGCAGCACGGCAAGCGTTTTGATTTATCAGCCTAATGCTTCTAATAGAGGGACTTTGAATCCAGTGCTTCTCAATGAAACGGATTAGTTGCATTCAGCACCATGGTGGTGATACTGAATGTGAAAACTAAAAAATCGGTGGTCTTACAAACGAAGACCTTCTTGGCTGCCTTTGTGACTGCTCTAGAGGCATCTTTTAGGCCACTTGGAAACATTGCCATTTCTTAGAAAGTACAGAGAAAGAGGTAAGTTTAATCCCTTCCTCCCCCTAGAGCCCAGCGGGAGGGGGACCCTGAGGGTGGGAGCATTAACGAGTGTTTTCCTGGCACTATAGTGGTCCTTTAACCCCTTAAGGACCAAACTTCTGAAATAAAAGGGAATCATGACATGTCACACATGTCATGTGTCCTTAAGGGGTTAAGCGTTAAAGGACCACTATAGGCACCCAGACCACTTCACCTTAATGAAGTGGTCTGGGTGCCTGGTCCAGCTAGGGTTAACCCTTCTATGTTTACACTGAGGTTTAATCTAGCCTCTAAAGCCTCTAGTGGCTGTCTCATTGACAGCCGCTAGAGGCGCTTGCGTGCTTCTCACTGGGAAAATCACAGTGAGAAGATGCCAGTGTCCATAGGAAAGCATTGTAAATGCTTTCCTATGAACTGGCTGAATGCGCGCGCGGCTCGTGCCGCGCATGCGCATTCAGCCAATGACGTTGCTAGGAAGAAGGAGAGGAGGAGGAAAACTCCCCTGCCCGGCGCTGGAGAAAGGTAAGATTTTAACCTCTTCCTCTCTCCAGAGCCCGGCGGGAGGGGGACCCTCAGGGCAATATAGTGCCAGGAAAACGAGTATGTTTTCCTGGCACTATAGTGGTCCTTTAAATTCAATACTTTTCTATGAGCTGCATTTGGTCACATGACTGAGTTTGACTAGCTCAGTGTAGAAAATGCCTACTATAGGTGTGTTTAACCCCTTAAGGACCGAGGACGGTTCAGGACCGTCATCGGCATTTTTGCGTTGCCAACCGATGACGGTCCTGAACCGTCCTAACGGTCAGAGCTACTTACCTGATCGCCCTCGTTCCCCCGGCGGCGATCAGCGTGGCTCCGGTTGTGGGGAGACTGCCTGCAGCCCAGGCAGTCTCCCCACGGCAGATTAGGACCCCTGTGGCCATGTGATCGCTTAACAGAGCGATCACATGGTCACAATAGGTGTCCATGTGTCTGCCTGCAGGGGGACTGTCTGTGCTGACAGGCAGTCTCCCTGCATGTGTAAAATCAAAAAAAAAAATAAAGTTAATGTTAATAAAAAATAAATAAATAATTATATATGTGTATATATGATATATAACATATATTATATCTATATAATATATGTCTCTATATCATATATATATAATGTCATACTAAGTGTATTTTTATATTAATATGTACTTATATTAATATAAAAATACACTTATAATTAAATTACACACGTATATATATATAATATATATAATAACTATATATATTGTATATATATATTATTATAAAATATAAATAATAAGTAATTTAAATTAAATAATTTTTTTTTAAATAATAATAAAAAATTTAAAAAAAATTATATAGCTATATGAAATTTTATTCTAACTGTATTTTAAAATTAATATATATATATTTATATCAAAATACACTTAGAATGAATTTGTATATATATCTATGTATATAAAAATAAATAAAAATAATAAGAAATATACATACGTCCATATACAAAATTACATAAATAATTATATAAATATACACGTAGACTTCAAATATATAAATATGCATATATATTTAAATTCTACGTGCGTATTTATGTAATATTTTTACATAATTCAGTAATTTTATTGATTGCAATTTGAGGGACCTGCCTGCCAACCCAGGCCGAAATTCCAGAGAATTTAATTTGCTAGCACTGTATTTTACCCTGTAACGTTCTACGACACCCTAAAACCTGTACATGGGGGGTACTGTTTTACTCGGGAGACTTCGCTGAACACAAATATTAGTGATTCAAAACAGTAAAACATATCACAGCGATGATATTGTCAGTGAAAGTTACTTTTTTTGCATTTTTCACACACAAACAGCACTTTTACTGATGATATAATTGTTGTGATACGTTTTCCAGTTTTTAAACACTAATATTTGTGTTCAGCGATGTCTCCCGAGTAAAACAGTACCCCCCATGTACAGGTTTTATAGCATTTGTGAAAGTTACAAGGTCAAATATATGGGTCAAATATTTTTACATTGAAAATGGCCAGGTTGGTTACGTTGCCTTTGAGAGCGTATGGTAGCCCAGGAATGAGAATTACCCCATGATGGCATACCATTTGCAAAAGAAGACAACCCAAGGTATTGCAAATGGGGTATGTCCAGTCTTTTTTAGTAACCACTTGGTCACAAACACTGGCCAAAATTAGCGTTCAATTTAGTTTTTTTACTTTTTTCACACACAAACAAATATGAATGCTTACTTTGGCCAGTGTTTTCGACTAAGTGGCTACTAAAAAAGACTGGACATACCCCATATTGAATACCCTGGGTTGTCTACTTTAAAAAAAATATGTACATGTGGGGTATTATTCAGAGATTTATGACAGATAATAGTGTTACAATGTCACTATTGATAAATTTTAAAAATGTATGTTTTGAAACCGCAATATCCTACTTGTACCTATAGCCCTATAACATGCAAAAAAAAGCAAAAAAGCACGTAAACACTAGGTATTTTTAAACTCAGGACAAAATTTTGAATCTATTTAGCAGTTTTTTTCATTCGCTTTTGTAGATGAGTAAAAGATTTTTCAAGTAAAAGTCAAAAAACATGTATTTTTTCAATTTTTCATCATATTTTTTTATTTTTTTTAAATTAAAATACATGAGATTATATAAATAATGGTATGTAAAGAAAGCCCCTTTTGTCCTGAAAAAAACAATATATAATTTGTATGGGAACAGTAAATGAGAAAGCAGAAAATTACAGCCAAACACAAACACCACAAAAGTGTAAAAATATGCCTGGTCGCAAATGTACAACATCGCAAAAACAGTCCAGTCCTTAAGGGGTTAATTCTGCAATGCAGACTCTACAAAAAACAAAACCTACACCGCCACTGAACCCAGACCACACCATAGAGATGAAGTGATCTGGGAGCCAAGTGTCCTTTAAAACACACTGTTGTAGTCTGCTACAAATTGTATGGAGAAGAGACTTCATTGTATTCTGCAATTAAGTTTATAGGAATTCTGCTTTGGAGTGTTGACTTTCTTTCTTCATACCTTTTTATTAAATAGATTAAGAAAAAGAAAAAAAATTCTTAGAATCTAAAACAATGTGATTGTCTGGTTCAGCTTCACTTTGTATTAAGGCACTATTCTGGGCTTTTAAAGCGTCACTGAAATCCCCCCGCCCCTCCCATTGCAAAATGGGTATTTCATAAAGATAACCTCTTAATTCAATACTCATATGGACTGTGTTATGTCCCTGAAGTTCCGACCCAGTCAAAAGATTTATTGAGATAAAATAGGGACTTTTTCCTCTGCTTGACACAGAGCAAAGCTGAAACCATCAAGAAGTGTCAATCCCCCAGCCACCAGTAACGGGTGCAGAGAATTGTCCCTGTTAATAGGAGGTCTTGCGGGATCTTTCATAGACCTAAATGCTGTACTATTGAACATGTGTGAGAGTACAGCAGTGACGTCAGTGCCTGGTGCTGAAGCTCCAAGAGTAGATGAGGACTGCCAGGAAGACAATGGTGGCCCCTATGAGGGACAGGTTCAAGTAAGTAGAACTCAGCCTTGGCCTGCCTCCTCCGGCCACTGGACCCTCCAGCAGCGAATTCACCATCGGGAACCTTTGTAAATTTTGCAAGTCCCCAGACAGTGACCGTTCCGCTTTAAAATGTATTTCTTTTATCTAATACAGTTGAGTCGTTTTTATTTTCTATTATGCATCTGTTTTAATAATAAGTGATGCGGTCACCATAGTGTGAAACTGCCATATATACACATTGATTTATTAAGAAACAAGGGGTTAATCTTTAGTTATGGTTTTGCGGCATCTTGTTTATTTTCCATTTGGTTAACCCCTTAAGGACCAAACTTCTGGAATAAAAGGGAATCATAACATGTCACACATTTCATGTGTCCTTAAGGGGTTAAAAGTCTCCCTAAAATAATACACTGATGTTTCTGCAAAGACTCAGAATTTGACCTACCAAGTATAGCCTCCCACAACATTAACTTCTGGTACTTGCTGTGATTTGTTAGGTTATCTTGTCTTTCTTTCGGCCAAGCTTGTTTTTACTATTCTCTCATTTTGTCAACGTTAACATGCTGTGTCTATTTTTCTGAATGTAAAGTCCCTGCCACCATAGTTTCAGAGCTGGCCTGCAGTTGGCATTTTTGCATTTGTTGATTACTCGTTTTCCTGTCTGCGTTGCGCTCCAAATTTGATTTACTCATTAAAAAAATATATAATGAAACTGTTGTTATAAAAGCTTATCAGACTGTTCTTCTCGTTCCAGCTTGTGGAGTTCCATGATGCATGAGGGCTGAGGAGATGATTTTAATCGGAGTAAGTTTACCTACGTCTTGTTCTGCTTCAGACGTCAGAAAACCCAGTGGATATAAGCAAAGGGATTTTTATATTATTTTAACTCATGAATATCTTTATCCTGGATTATAGCTGACATATATACATATATATATATACTTTTAAAAAGTTCTTATTTTATTTAAAAAAAAAAAAAAAAAGGAAATTGCAATTTTCTGTTTTAGCAGGGATTAAAATTTTATACAAAAATGACAACCTCATCTATAAGGAGACAAATGAAAAACATTGTAAATAATTACTCTGAGGCTGAAATAAAAGTTCGGGAAGCCACCTCCAATGACCCATGGGGTCCCTCCAGTTCCCTCATGACGGAAATAGCTGATTTGACTTACAACGTAGTGGCTTTTTCAGAAATCATGAGCATGATATGGAAAAGGTTGAATGACCATGGGAAAAACTGGAGACATGTTTATAAAGCATTGACTTTATTGGATTATCTCATCAAAACCGGGTCGGAGAGAGTGTCCCACCAGTGCAAAGAGAATATTTTCGCTATACAAACACTGAAAGATTTCCAGTATATTGACCGGGATGGGAAAGACCAGGGAATCAATGTGCGGGAGAAATCAAAACAGTTGGTGTGTCTCTTGAAAGATGATGAGCGATTAAAGGGCGAGAGAGCTCAAGCCCTCAAAACAAAAGAGAGAATGGCTCAGGTTGCAACCGGGGTTGGCAGCAACAACCCTATCTCTTTTGGTCGTGGATCTAGCCAACCCAACTTATCTACTAGTTACTCCGAGCAGGATTATGGGAAATCTGGAGGCTCTCCAGCATCTTACCATGGATGTGAGTATCAATGCAACATTTATTTTTTGCCATTTGTCTCATAGGGTAGAAATTTTTTTTCTTTTCTTTATATTTTGCACATATATAGTCTTGACTAGTAACCGCTATGCATATGAAACCCATACCTAACAGTCTCGATATTAGCAAAAAAATGTTTAGGTATGATAATTACTTGTCTGTGGATAAGGAGCGTTTTCTCTTAACAACCAATAACAACAATGAATGTTTTGACCATGTGATGTCCCAACCGCACTTGGTTGATATTTTAAAGATATGCAGATGTTTTTAGGACTGTTATGTCACCCATCCTTCTTCCCCCAATCATTCTTCGGATGCAGCTGCGCTAATAACTGAGATAGTTAACCTTTCCAAAAACGTAATTCTTCCAAAATCTCAAGCTTAAAGAAAAAAAAAAATGTTGGCTTGTCTCAAAATATGTTTGACACTTTTAGACAACTGCAATAAAAACACACATTTGTAAAAAGATATAAGACTTTGCATAGCTGTGCCAAGTTTTAAGAGATTTGTTTTGGGTACAACATTGGAATTTAACAGGAGAAGTGTTAAAATTCACATGTTTCTTCCTTCCTTTGTCATTATCACCTTTGGTCTAGCCAATTTGGTTGCTTTTTCGAAAGGTAGAATAAAATGTTTTAAAATGACCTCTAGTTTCTGCCTGAATTTGTTTGTTTAAACTAAAAATACGCCTTTTATAATATTCCCCCCTCCCCGCTGTGCATTTTATATTAATTCCTTGCACTTGCTGCAAAATGTAAATTTGCAGCTTCTGCAGTGTACCCTTATTTTTCTATTCTCATTGGTTATGCTTTACGGACACAGCCAAGATTTCCAGGAAACATAATTCACATGTCAGCTTTTCTGCTATAGGAAATGAACAGCTGGTGGAGACACTAAGCACTAGGTGACCCCGTTATCGATTTGTCACATTACTGGCTTTTTCCCAGCATCGCTTTAATAAGCCTCTTCTCCTAATCATGTGCTCAATCATGTATACTTTCTGTCAATAGACTTTACTGCTCTGTTATCTTAGGTCATGTTTCAGTTATATACAGTAATATAGTAAAATGTGTTTTTTATTAAAAAGGCGCTTCACCATTTTTTTTACAAACATTTCAAAATTATAATACAAAAAATGGGGGTCAGAACACCCATCCAAATGTTCATATTCAAACAAGACAATTTTCGTAAACAAAAATAATTGCTCAATCGGCTCAACAATATTTCAGAATATATACAAAGTTACGGGTGTAGTAGTCAATATATGACACAATTATAAAGTTAAATGTCAGAATTAGTCAATTGATTAAATTATAGGGGATTTGAACGTTTTATATTATCTTCCCAAACATTCCAATAAATTCCTAATTGGTCACTAATACAAGATGGTTTATTATCCAATATCGGGTACAAAACTTCTCTAAGGGATAGTATTTTGTCTGTTTTCCAATACCTCGGAATAGACAATGTGCAAATACAGTAATCTAGCTAATCAAGTAAATTGTATCTCCTATTCAATTGCATGTTGCACATCCACAAAATACTATGGCCTGGTCAAACAGGCTCTATGCCAAGAGGTCTGTGTGTTCTCCCTCCATCCCCCCACCCTCCTCTTCCGCACACAATAAACAGACCTACTCTTCATTAGCGGAGATGAGAAGCCTGTAAATTTAATTTTGGATAAGTAGTTGATTGTACCATGGCACTCTCTCTCAAGGATGAGCCCGCTCCTATTGTGATCACTCCAATTCGCCAACACATGTGACTGGCGATAGATCCAAATCTTCTTGTAAAATGCCCACCTAATTATGGATAGGGGACAACTTGGTGATCAGCTGTTGCACAACTGCAGGGGTCTGCTGTAGCCCAGACCTACTGTAACTAAGAATCTCAAGATCCTCTCACATTGTGAGAATTGACATCCTTTGCCACCCAATAGATAGTGAAATCTTTATGTATACAATGTTTATATAACTGTCTGTCTCTATACCCCAAAAAATGTGCATTATGATTTTTTTTTTTTTAATAATTAGTAAATTTAAATATATGCAAAAATACATAAATTAAAAAAAGATGTTTTAGTGGGGAAGGGAGACTCTTTAATTTCTGAAAAGATTGTGTAATCTAGAATTTGCCCATTCATTTAGAAATCTAAATTATTTGGGGGACATTGAGGTAAAACTTTTTTTTTTTTAAATCTTGATTTATTTGAAACCGTTTTATAACGGGTTTTTTTTCACCTGCAAGATGCACGTTATGCATTCATGTTCTGTTAGTAAAAGATGCAAAATTGAAGGCAAGAAAGATAATCAGCATAATTAAACATTTCTAAAATTCTCAATAATTATTGTTTGTGGTTCTGCTTCATTTTTTTATTTTAATGCAAACGTGTGTTAAAATTACTTTCTTTGCATTATGTCTGCAGTACACCGGGTAATAGTATATTACTGTTAACCTTTTGGCTGCCTGAATCTTAGCTTGCTCCTGGCTTTGCTTCCACTGTTCCACTGCTACATGACAGTGTTGGAGTCGAGTTGGCGTACAGTGCCCCAAGTGCATGTCTGGCATTGGCTGTAAAAGCAGAGTTAGAGGCTGCAGTCTCACGTCCTACAGTCTTGACACAAAGACACCGCGTCCCCAAAAAAATGGCATGGTTGATGTGTGAAGGTTATTCTGGGATTGTACGTGACTATTTATAAACAGGCAGTGTGTGTGGGAGGAATGTTAGTTGGCAGTGTATATATTAAAGGGACATTCTAGCATCTCATTGTACAGCACTACGGAATATGTTGGGGCTTTATAAATCATAATAATAATCCGCTGCAGCTTAATGTAGTAATGTAGTTATTCTGGTGTCTACATTGAAGAGCCTGCAGGGACATGCTATAAACCCTGTCTTCTCAGAGGAAAGACAGTGTTTACATTGCTGGCTGGCAGCACCTCTACAGGCAGTCCCTCAGATTGCCACTAGAGGTGCTTTCTTTCATACTATTCAGCACTGGCATTGAGTGTGTCTACACTCTGCATGGAGGAGTTAAATGTAGTGCTGTATTTTGGCGCACATGTGCTATAGAATCTCAATGATTTCCTATGGGAAAACATTGGATTGGCTGAGATAATCAGGATTGATGATCTCAGTCATTGAGGTCAGGTTTATGTGTAGGTTTCGTTTTTTGGGGGTGGAGATGTTTTTTTTTTTTTTTTTTGTGTGTGTTTACTGCTTTACCATTGATTATTAACTTTTCATTGTTTATGGAGAAAGGAATGTGAGCTGCTATGATTTAAGGGTTTGTTCAAATAGATGCACATCTACATAACAAACTAATCTTTCATTCCTAAATCAGAACAGAATGATAAAAAAAAGTACAGAAATCCCTAAAGGTTAAAATTTCCAAGATGCTCCTCTTTAAAAATAAAATCTAGTTTTGAATACCCTCTTACATTTTGTCCTCGTAAATCCTTATGGGCTTTCAATTTGGAAAGCAGATGGAGATAATATATAAAAAAAACATACAAATATGCCCTCCTTTCACTGTCCCTCATTTAAAGGAAATCCCCAGGAAATGGCTGTCATTTTCATTAATGTTGCTCTGCCTACCCCTTAAACCACTATGAGTTACAGGCTTATGTGTTTGAACGTGTTATACTATCAATGCAGAATAGATTGGAAGCAGCTACATGGCTGGAAAAACATGAATACAGTTACTTTCACAAGCTAAATGCTGATCGGTTTCTTCTACTATCAACTTGTGTAGGTAGCTTCATTTATTTTTGTTTTGTATCTCTGTATGTCCGTATGTCGTAATGTGTGTGCATTTGTGTCTACATCTGTGCTGGTTTAAGTTTGTATCTGTGTAAAAATGTGTGTGGTGGAACCGGGGCTCTGTCTGTTTTAGTTCCATTAATGGTCAGGGATCCTGATTCACTGTTAGACTACTTGAAAAAAATGGTTTAACACTGAAAGGAGGGGCAGTGCCAGTGGACTCCAAACACTATCCAATTCAGTGACATGAAATGGTAATAGTCTTTGTATATTGGATTTTTGTAATATTGTGTCCTATTGTAACAATGCAATGTTTTGTGTACCCAGGACAAATCTGAATGTATCCATCCTGGTAAAGTATTTTTATAAATAAATAAATAGTCCCCCTTTAAATATATTTAAGTTACTCCTAAAACATTTCAAATTAAGCCATTGAGGGTGAACCTCCGATTACACAAAATACAGACAATATATCGAGGCACGAAAAGATTTCTAATTGAAAAGTATAAATAATTCTGATGCTTGGAGTGAAGTTGCATTTAAAGAAGAAAACGAGCATTCGGTGTTTTTATGGTTGCTAAGACTTTATCCATATACCATTTTTGTAGCTTCCCAAAAATTCCGACAAACCTTTTCTCTAACCTACATAGGAGGGACAGCTATAGAGATCTGTATTGCTCTGTGTGGCCACAGTTTTGACAATCATTGTCAATTCTGGCAAATGAAAAGTCCATTTAATTAAAAAAATAAAATAAATAATAATTTAGTTTTTAGCCTTTAAGAGGGCATTGTGTTGCACAGCTTGGTGTAACCTTGTAAAATGGTTCTCTCTTGTTTTCTTTTTTGAATACTCTACTACCCCTCTCAGCCTTCCTGTTGGCCAGCAAGACCTTTACCGATTATTTTAATTGCTGCCATATACTGACTATACAATGTATCTCTGTAGGGGGTACTTCTTATTAGAACCAGGAATTCCTTTGCTGCCAGAAAAACTGCAAGATAAGATTTGAATAGGTCTTCCTATCAGCTTAAGAGATAAGAGTGCTAAAATGCAAACTCTATACAAGGAACACACAAAGAAGCACTTTCAAATAACACTATAGCATTAGGAATTCAGAGTGTATTCCTAACGCTGTTGTGCCCTAGTCACAGTTTCAGTGACTGGCTGCCCATTGCCTAGTTTAAAAAGCCAGTTTACTTGCCTTTTCTTACTCACAGCGATGGTCTCCGGCATGCAGATCCACCTCATTGGCTGCGATTATCATTGAAAGGTGGCAGAAGCGGGATGTTGCCCAGTGAGGATCTCTGAGCACAGCCAACCTAGCTCTTGTGTGTGGAGTGTGCTCTTTTAAAAAAAAAATAATAACAATTTTGCAAAAAGCGCAGACCCTTTTGTAAATTAACCTTGTTACACCCCCTGATTGTCAATCAGACAACCGGTCCTGTTACTTCCTGGTTGTTTAGGTCAGTGGACCTAAACTCAAAAGCCAGCAATTGCTTTTATGTTGTATATGGGCGGTGGAGTGTCCCTCTAAACTCAAATCTCCAAGTTTTAAGTTAGTCCAGTCTGGCTAATTTTAACCCTATCTTTCATACCTTCAGCTGCTCTAGGGCACCCTGTAAACCTCTATCTAACCATAACTTTGCAGGCCTTGCTGAGTGCCCTGTACATTCAGGTTCCTAAGATTCCTGATAAAACTGAACTGTACAAGGAACCAACTTGAGCATTACACGGCCATCCTACCACCTATCACAGTATGAGGTGTAGAAACCTGCCTTCTAACTCTGCCTCCTACAGGCAGAATCCTTGCTAGTGTCTGCACTCTTTTCTCACCTCTCTCGAGCAGTAGGCAGATCCTGGCATGTCACTTTTAGGTATAGCACAAGAAGGAGACGGAACTCTCTCCAAAGTTGTAACTGAAAAGTTCATAGTTCTCTGTCCAGAACCTGTATTACACGCTAAATATGTTGTGGGGGGAGTTTACTGGAAAGCACAGTTGAAACGTCTATATTGCTTATATAGGTCTTAAGTTTTACCTGTTGAATTCTCACTGAGACTCTCCAGTAATATATATTTCTCTCTGGAAACCGTAACGGGCACCTGTGCTGGGAGAGTGTTCCCCAGGAGTCTGGTGAAAACTCAAACCACTTACATAAACACTGGAAAGGAACTACCCCTAGTGTGCATATTTTATTTGGCGTCTCTCTTAAATAAGCAAAAATCGGTGCTGCAGTATTGCTCTATTTTCCCAAATTTCTCCAGGACAGGCTCACGAGTGAAGTCCATTGACATAAAATAAATTTTTTATTGCTGGCATTAATCCTCGCACACTGAAAACAGACACCAAGGATCATTGGTAAAAAATGAATTATTAGAATAAATTTCCCTATTTGTGTGTTTTGGGGTTTTTTTTTTTGTTTTTTTCCCCCAAGTAGTTCTAATTTCAGAGTATGTTTTGTTTATTAATCAAAATATAATTATTATTTTTTTTTATAAAAATGAATAAAACAAGATTATTTTATGTAAGTAAGCTAAATATACATTAGCCCGTAATTGTGTGATGGCTTTTGGCAAAATGCTTATTCCACTCTTCTTGGGGGTTGTGTTTTTTATTATTTTTTTTTATTTATTTTTTTACACATATCGGGGTTTTAGAGTTCTTGTTCCTCTTCAAATTTTGACCATCTATATATATTTGTTTAATGCACTATATGTACCAGGTCTGTCCAGAAAAACACCAGCCATTGTTAATATAACAAGAACAGTTTGCGCAACATCGTTGTAACCTGGCAGCCAAGGAGAGTGGACTGGAATGCGCATGCGTGAACAATGACAACTTCACTGTACTAGTCAGTGGGGGCGCTTGATGCCTTTGAGTGAGCATATGTGCTGGCCATCACATTCTAACTGAGCGAGTAGAGCAACGAATCTGCATCAAATTTTGCGTTAAGCTTGCTCATTCCTCCGCGGAAACTATTCGGATGATTCAAAAGACTTTCGGGGGCGATGCAATGAGTGCGGCTCAAATAAGTGTGGCACAAATACTTTAAAGATGGTCGAGTATCTGTTGAAAACTGTGGCACCCTGCGAATTCTGGCTTTTCCCAAAACTAAAATCACCTTTGAAGAGAAGAGGTTTCAGACCGTTGATGACAATCCGGTAAATAAGACGATGCAGCTGATGGCGATTCCAACAAAATGATTTTGCAGAGTATTTGGAACAGTGGAAGAGGCACTGGAAGAACTGTGTGACGTCCCAAGGTGCCTACTTTGAAGGGGACTGAGGCGTCATTTTCCTATGTACAATGTTTCTTGTATCTACTTCAATAAATGTCTCTATTTTTCAAATTACATGGATGGATACTTTCCGGAGAGACCTTGTATATCCCCTCCAATTCCTGATCCAGTATGAGATTATTCTGGGGGATCATAGTTTCCCACAATCCTCTCTCTCACGGGTTTATGGAATAAGTAGTTTAGTTTATCCCCCAAGAGGAGTCCCAGTCAATATATAGAATACTTGGAACTGCATTATAAACTGGTAGCTGCCATACCGCATTTGTTGTCAGTTTACATACAGCTAGGTTCACTATTTAGCAAAATAGGCTGAGCTTGGCGATCAAGTAAGCTGTAGACCGAACATGTGCAATCCACGGCTTGGCTCTATGGGAGGGACTTATGTCTTATTGTATAAACAGCACTGCTGCAAGAAGCTATAGCAGTAATCAGAGTGGGCTCAGGGTGCCATATGTACCGTGCAATTTGCAAGAAAGCAAAGTACTTATGGTTCTTACTGACCCTTAAACTCAGTTTTTTTTAAATTAAGTTGAGGGTCCTGCTCAAACGAGTTTACATTCTAGATGTGCGCAGTACCAAGTACAACGCAGGTAAGTGGATCTCATCCTAGCGATATAGCTACTGTAGCTGGTTTCAGAAATCTGTTTGGTTTCAACAGAGCAGTGTTGGCCTGCTAGGTGCAAGACTGACTTCACGCATGCTCGGAAAGAAGGTTGGGTAGGGACAGATGGTGCGTGAGAGTCCTACTTTAGTGATTAGCAGAATTTAAAAGTGATTTTCTCTGTGCTGAAAGCTTGGGAGGGTGGGGGGAATCTCAAACACCTAGATTAACCTTATGGAGCTCCATCCTAGATTGTGTGATAAATATCCACATAAAACAGATTTTGTAATATTGTTTGAAAGCTATTTTAAAATAAAATGACATTTCAAATTTACGAACCAGTAGACACGTTGAGGAATTAATGTTTAAAACTGGTGCATCTGTGTTTTCTACAAAACCCTTCATTTAGCTCTTGCAATGTACTTGTTTTGCAAATGGACCTTGGTGTTCGTAAAGTTATGCCTTATTGGGGATTATTCACTAAATGCTGATAAGATATTTTTTTTCCCGAGTTCTGCAGTTTTTATTTACATGTTGCACATTGATTTTTGGTCCACCATCTCGAGATTAATCCCTTTTATATTTGTCTCTATAAATTTGTATGTAAAGTCTTTGAAGATATGTTTGCAACTCTGTTTTCTGGGGGTTTTTATGTTTGTATGCGCTTCAGATTTATTCTCATATTTGAAATATGATCAGTGTTTGTGCAAATTCCGGTACTTTAACACCTCTATTGGTATTCTTGAAAATGTATCACTATCACCTTTCTAGATCCCTCTGCACCTTTCATTATCTTAACACAATATCCACAATGTCCCTAGGCAGTGGAAAATCCCAGTGCTTACCAGTGTTCCGTGGAAGTTTTTTTTTTTTTTTTTGAGTTGTCTGGTGCTGAAAAAAAAATCACAAGATCACTTTTCACACACTGGATTATGTATATGGGTGTCCTAAAGATTCCATTATTAATTACGCTTGCAAGGACCTCTTATGAAAACATGCTTGGAGATTGGTGACCACTAGAGCCGATATTGCCAAAATCTTACTTCAAGCGCCTAGTCTCAGGTGTCAGACCAGGAAAAATAGCTGCGTACTAGTCTATTTACATAGAGTTATGCACTAAATTGGGAATTTTAGGGAAATAAATATTTGTGACCAAGTTTCGACATTCCCCATGTACGTTCCCAGATAATAGAGTAACCCAGGAACTGTGCCCTTCATAAACCTAATCTTATACCAGTCGGCATTTCAAATCGATAAAAAGGGACTAATTTTAAGGGTGTGAGTGGGGAAAAGCAGGTAGAAATTTTGTGACTTTTTAATAACAATTTAAAAATGTAATTTAGAACAAGAACAATGAATGGTTTCTAAACACATTTAGTGTAGTTTAAAGACACATGACTGGGAGTATTATTGCTGTGGAGCTCTGTTATACACACAAACACATACAATATGGAGCTCCTAGAAAAGCGGGTCGAAGGGGTTTATCCTCAAAATAGGGACTGCACCTCCTATATAGGGACACTTGGGATGTATGTCATCTATACTTCGCCACCACCTGCCTTTTAAGAAACAAAAAAAAATAATGGTACAGGAAACACAAGTTGATCTCTCTGGAATTTCTGGGTTGTAGCTCTGCTAACTGGACACCACATCCCATCAGTGTGTGTTTCTTACTAAGGAATTCTGAGAATGAGGCCCTAATGACCTCTTTCTGTGTCCCATAAATCAGCCTGTTTCCTCCTTGTACACAAGCAGGGCTGTGTGCAGTGCTTAGCGGCCCTCTTCCCATAGCATGGTGAACTGACTGTATCACAGGCACTTGCTGCAGCGGATAGGTGTGTGTGTGTGTGTGTGTGTGTGTGTGTGTGTGTAGCAAGGCTGAAATTGGACAATCTAGCTCAGTGAACTTGTTCCCACAGCCACTAAATTTACGATTAGAGATGGTTGCTCTTTTTGACAATAAGGGAAAGCTAAAGTGACTGTAATTTCACTAAAGAAAAGAGGAACACAACATAGTGCAATATTGTACACAATAACCACTCTGTGAACAATTTACAATTCATAATGATCCTACATATAGGAGACCGCAGGGACACTTATATTACATGTTACTCAAAAAAAGTGATATACACCATTAAGTTTACAATTGAGCGTCAATAAGACACTAACTGCACTTTCTTATGGTTCATTTTTTTGTTTAAATCGTCACTCTATATGAGAAACGTTTTGTGTGTATGTGTATGTATATATATATACAGACTATTTTCCTCCCTTAAACAACATGGCGGCCACAGACTCACCCATATATGGACACAGGAAATACGATCACATGATGTGATGACGAAAGCGGAAGTGATGAAAGCGGAACACGGTTGCGATCAATCTGAAATTATGGATATCCTTACAGATATAAAAGAAGAGCATGAACACATACCGATTGACAAAGCCCATCGGCGAAACGCGTCTCGGACGTCCAGCAGGATCAAAGATTCACTTACTGTTTTTATACAGCTATTTTATTTTATACTTAGTGTTTTTTATATTGTTACATAAATTTTATTTCTTCCAACTCCTCCTTGTGGACGTAAGCAGTGTTCCTGATACTCCCTTATAGGGTTTTGTGCCCCCTTATTGGCACATACACCATTACACCCAGAGCCAGGTCTGTAGGCTCTTAATCAGGTGAGCAATTCTGTGTATTTTACCACGAATTGCAATGTACCTACATACTACACCATATTCGGTCTCCCTTTATATTTAAAGGAACAGCACGACTTCATCGTTGTAGGTCCCGTGTTGCCTTTCAAAACACGTACGCCTGAGTGATCTGAGCCTGTCCTGTTGAGGCTCAGTACCATGTGATTGGTCCATATATTTCTATTATCACTCCACTATTTTTTGAACGTACCACACAATTGCATTTTTTTTTATCTCATCCCCACCTCTAGGCTATTGCATACATATCCAAGAGAGAGGGGGAGGCGAGTTATTTTATTCGTACCCTTTAGCGTTCCACCTATTGGCTGGTGTTGGTCTCCTACCACACAGCCTATCAGTTATAAGTTACACCCTTGTGTTAAGCTGTGAGAGAATTACACACTGGTGGTAGCTGCACATATTTTTTCCACCCTTGGTTAAGCGCCTGGATACACAGTACTATCTCGTACTATTAACAATTAACAATTGGCCACTCACTATTTTTCCAGTATAAATGAAGCCTTCATATAATCCTTGTCAGGAAGTTATTCTCCTTCGTTTGCCACTCCAATATCACATACTTTGGGACAAAAAGGAATAAAGTGCAAAGTGTGAAACAAAGACCAAGTAAAGTGCAAAAATTAGTCTTTATTACTTGCACATAGTGTCTATTTTCTATAAAACCTGTGTCTTACCTGCACTCATGTTGCTTTAACCCCTGTATCACAACTCAACTTTGACTTCTATGTGTCGTCTTGCTCAGAAATGCTTTAGATTTGAGAAAGGGACGTTCTCTCAAAAGCTTATCATTAAAAAATTCTGTTAATCCAAGATACAAATTGTATCCGTTTTTTTACATTTACTTACACATAGGTAAGAAACTGCAAATAAAAGGTCCTACGCATTTCGCCACTCAGGGACAAATGCTGTATACACAATCAAATGAAGAAAAAAGTCTCCCTCCCTAACCCAGTCCTTATAAATCCCTCCTGATTGCTCCAGCATCATTTTCATAGGTTTCATATGTTTTCTTCCTTTACTTCTGTGTTCCGCCTCATCACGTTTTGCAAGCCGGTGTGTTGAAACTTCCTACTTCCTCAAACCATGATGTTAACATCATCGTGTGGTCCATGCAATGACGTATGTGTTTCAGCTTGGTTTCCCTTGCGTTCGATTGCAAGGGAAATCTCAATTTAATGGTGGCCCTAAAGAGTTGATCAAATATGGTGTTCCTCTTTTCTTTAGTGGAACTACCCTCATATACTACATATTTGCATTTGGAAAAATTGTAGGAGATCTGCTGGGTAGTCTCTTCTACTTAAGGAAATTTTAAACCTTTTTTTGGACAGTTTGCACTATATTAAGGGGTTTGTGTTGATTTATACATTTCTCGGCAAAGCTAAAATGGACAATTGGTAATTTGCATTGACGTCAAGTGCACATATTGACTCTCTAAATGTGCCAATGTTATAATCTCACCGTAGTTCCGTGCCAAGTCACAGTTCGTGTCAATCACAGCAGCATGTTTGTATGTGAAGGATATTTGTCTTTAACACTGGAGAAACCTTTAGAATATATTTCTGTAGGATGTACATAAAAAAAGGCACGTTGGATGGTAATACCTTTAACAGACCACAGACAAGCTGATTAGAATACAGACAGACAATTCTAAAAATGTAAAAAGGCTGTTCCCCTATTGCTGCTCTTAAACTCTATATTTGTAAAGAAATGATATTGTAATGCAATCTGGTTAAGTTGTTTGTTGCTAGAGCTCTTTATTTATCTAACAATTCTGATATAGCGCTCTTATTCTCAACTCGACTGATGGATGAGGCCTAAAGTAGTGTTCTTTAGAGCTTGCACCAACACAAATAATCTATTTATGCCACAAGTAAACATTCCCAGGGCTTTGTGGCTAGCCTGGAGCTCTTGCAGGATTCAGTAATAGTGGCGAGAGAGAAGAAATATATGGTTTATCCGGTACCGTTAAACTATACAAATTGAAACTCTTGGGGTGGGGGAGGTGAAACCGTGGTAGCACATATTGGGTTAAAACATAATTTAGACTTTTCGGTGATAAAATTAAAGTGACAAACAATATAAAACATACAGCAGAGGGGACAGTGAACTGGACTCTGGACATTTTTCTGGAATTTTGCAGCGTGAATAAATACTGTGTTTTGCTACAATGTTTTTTGTTAGTGTGCAGCCTGTAGTCAGTCCAGTGAACAGTCTTCACTGTGGGAATGTATGGGATTGCACCATACAAATATGCTGTTCACACAGAGGAGTTGTCTGCTTTGAGCCGAACTGTGGAATAGAAGGAGCATCGAAGGGATCATACAAAGTGGTCCTTGCATTTTACCATCTTTGCCAACCTAACCTACTAATGCTGTTTGCATTATCTGATGCTACTAAAAAATGTCTAGTTGTAGCTCTGCTATCTGATTACATGATGATAATTTTTTTAATTAATTTTAATTCTTGTTTTACAGCCACATCCCCGAGAGTCTCATCAGAGCTGGAGCAAGCTAGGCCCCAGACCAGCGGGGAGGAAGAACTGCAGTTACAGCTTGCTCTGGCTATGAGCAGGGAGGTTGCTGAGCAGGTGAGCCAAGTTCCTAATGCAAGTAGGGGGTGAATTCCGAGGCAGTGTGGTCATGTATAATGTATCCAGATTATGGAATCCTTAAAGGGACTCTCCAGGCAGCCCTTTTTACTCACCTGGTTCCGGCGCTGGGAGCCTCGTGAAGCCGCGCCCCCTATTTCGTCAAAATGACGAAATAGGCGGGCGCGAGCAGGGAGCAATCAGACGCTTCCATTCCATTTTCTCTGAAAATACAGTTTTTACATTAGATTGCCTGCAGGGAGCTATAGATCTCACCTGAACAACTACATTAAGCTGTAGTTGTTCAGGAGACTATAGTGTCCCTTTAACTAGATAACTGGGGGCACATTCTATTGCCACACACTAGCAGTGATATAGGTCTTTGTATAAATATGTATTGTTTTTATTATATGGTTAAGATAAACCAGATTGATTAAGATTTTAAAGGGCATCATTTTAGTTTGAAAGGGCCAGGACCCACATCTAGTTATTACTGGCAAGGCCTAAAATGTGAGTCTAAAAATTGTCATTCTTGGTTATGACCGCATGGACCCTGGCTGTTTTTTTTTTTTTTTTTTTAAATTTATTTAACAAAACCCATGACTAAATGGGTGCATTCTGTAAGCTGCATCTACATTGTTTTTATCTGTTTGGGAGCGGATGACCCTAGAACCTCTCTCGGTCAGTTTATCTCTTTCATTATCTGTTTTTTGGAATCACAGAGCCTCACTTTCCAACCCCCAATTTCTCTCTTACTGCAGGAGGAACGTATCCGGCGAGGTGATGACTTACGGTTACAGATGGCCCTGGAAGAGAGTCGGAAAGACACCATTAAAGTTCCCAAAAAGAAGGCAGTGAGTGTTTTTCTACATTCATTTGCCCCTTCTATTATCTACGTGTATAATTGTATGTCGTACAGCAGTAGTGGACAGGAAACATAGTCGTGCAGATTGTATTGCTTTGGAGATGCTAAAAAAAACTGAAAACAAAACTGGTTACTGACATGATTTTTAAAAAATGCCTCTACTGGTCCTATTTCCTAAATCTGACATGTGTATAGAAGCATCTCCATAAAAAAAGATGGCTTCCACCTTTTAATTCCTTCCACCTGCCCCACCCAAAGAACAAAACCTGCTATCGGCAACCCGCAGACTTCCAACCTATTGCTTTGCAAAAAACTAATCTGCAAAACTTAATGGGAATGGTTTATTGAGAGCAGGGGAGTTGCAGGGGGCTAATAGAGGGAGGGGAAGAACATATGGTCAGTAAAATGATGAGTAAATCATTTGGGTTTATTGTGATTTAATCTACCATTCTGGCATAATCACCAGTCTTACATTGGGTTTGTGCCTTTTTATTTATTTTTTAGTGGTCTTGTTTTGCTTGTACTTTTTCTCCCTCTTTTTTGATCACATACAAAGTCATACACACTCCTTTATTTATTCCCTCATTAGCAACAACCAACGTCGTTGCTGGACTTAATGGACGCACTACCATCTGCGGCTGCTGCACAAAAATCAGAGCCTTGGGTGGCGCCCGCAGGTGCAACAGCAGGGGCAGCAGCCGCTACAGTAACCAAGAATCCGCCTGACCCATGGGGAGCACCAGCCTCCTCTCCAATCGCTTTGGTGGACCCCTGGCAATCATTTGGTAAGATTCTGGTCTGGAGTGGGAGGATGCATAGAGAGATTAAGTGGGAAACTTACCAAAGTGTGTCCTAGGCAGTTTTTGTTCTGTGTGAAATGTCAACAGATGGCAGACTAAACATTTCCGAGCACCTTGATAAACCTTCCCATCAAAATACAGCACTAGAACAGCAGTTACATGTACAGCATCCACAGGGAACATTTACCAAAGTGTTTTGAAATATGATGGTTACATTCTGTCATCATTTGATCATATTTATTAAAATATGTTCTAAACATGATGGTTTTATTCATAGTAAATTTTGTCAGTTTTTGTGGAAATTTCCATTTCAAAATAAAACTGTGGAAATAAAAGTGTTTTCTGTTGTAAATGGCAGCAGAAAGATTGATAAATCACTAACCCAGGAAGCACCTCTGGCCATCTGACTGTCTCTAGAGATATTACTAAGCACCAATGTAAACACTGTCTTTTCTCTGAAAAGTCTGCAGGGACATGCTTTATACGCCGGAACCACTACATCAAACTGTATTGGTTGTGGTGACTATCGTGTCACTTTATTTACGTTGCCCTGTTGGATATATCAGACTGCTGATGTGTGACATCCATTCTATAAATCCATGTTATTTTATTTCTATTTTCTTGATTTGTATATTATTTAGCAGGAAGAAAGGCAGCTGCTCCCAATGACCCTTGGGGAAACAACCCCACCTCATCTATACAGTCTCTTCCAAAAAACACAGACCCTTGGGCTCCTTCCCAGTCAGCAGCTGCAGCCAATGCTACCGCAGACCCCTGGGGACCCACACAGGCTATTAAGAGCAGCACATCAAATACAGGTAAGATTGCAATGTCCTTCACCCTTTAATGCTGCAATATGGTGTGTGGCCAGAGGAGGAGCTGTGATTAAACCTGTGGGTTTTGTTTTTACTTTAAAAAATATATATATATATATTTTAGTTTTAGTAAAAATTTAAAATGCCACATTTGTTGTGATGAACCCATTTTTTTTTAAAACCTTGATATCTAATTTTAGTTATGCTGGTAAATATCTGCCAGGATGAGGCATCTCAATTCTAGTTTGCAACTTGTTGAGCAGAAGTTATGTTATATTAATAGAGGACTTCTTTTTATTTTTATTCTTTTTTTTCAGCACGAGAGGGTTTTTGTTTTAGTTTTCTCGGCAGGTGTGTCTCATTACGAATGTTGCACCGTAACTGATGTGTAACCTAACCTGATCAGCACTATTTGTATGTGGGTGGACATGCTTTAAAAAAAAACAAACAAAAAAAAATACCTTGATATTAAAACAGTAGCCTAAAACTCATGCTGAATTTGTGTGAGCAACTCAACACTACAAATGCACTCACATAATAATTGTTGACAGGAGAATTATCTGCAAGAATAACCCAATGAATGTTCTTACACTCCATTCCTATGATCACTTATTGTGCCTGCCAACTAATTCAGAATGTAAATGTAACTTTATTTAATCTCCTACATTTTGGAATACTATGATATGGAACATCTAGATATCACTCTAATCCTTTCTTTATTTTCGGAACAAATACCCTTTACATACCATCTCTGAAAGACTCCCAGGATCCTATATAGTAATATGCAAATTAGCTCACATCCTCATTACTCTTTTAAGCATCCTAAGCAGAAACCTGCACTGTTTAAATGTAGTTTCCGGATCAAAATATTGCTATGTATCAGAACCGTGTGCTCGGTCACAGCCAGCTGGTTTGACTTAACAGGTCTCCCTAATGTGGCTATGGCTTTTAACTTTGAATAAATAACTAGAAATGACATTTAACATAGCCTTCTTGTCTGTTATTTTGTAATGTTCCAGTTCCGCATTAACAATATCCATTTCCTCCAGATATGGACGGCATTGATCTAGATAACTGGCACTCTCCGCTCATCCCTGCTGACGTAATATGAATGTAATTGATATTGTTAATGCAGAAGTGGAAATTGGTTTAACCACAACTGATGATCCGTAGGCCGGAGAACGTGCTCTCAGGTTTACTAAGTTCCACTTCCCATTAGCTATTTCAATTTCATCTGCATTCGGAGGACATGGATAGCTCGAGCATGTCAGTGCTTGTTGTTTTATCCCATACCAAGTACTCTCTCTCTCTCTCTCTCTCTCTCTCTCTTTATTATTTTTTTTTCTCTCAATATTCTGCCCTTTCTTGATTGTTTTATTGCTTTTGAAAGGATAATCTAGGCATCCAACCAATTTATCTCAATGATATGGTCTGGGTGCTGTGCCTGTAGTTTTAAACCTGCAACTAAAAAAATTGCTGTTTTTGCAGAAACGCGCAAATATTTCATTGCAGGGTTAAGATGACTCTAGTCGTCACACTGACCGCAACTAGTGGTGCTACCGCCCCAGTCAACCAAGTGATCGAATTTGGTTGTTGCAGCACGGATAGGATATCCCCTACACAAGGAGTAAGCAACCTTCTCCAGATGTTGTGGACTACACTTGCCATGATACTTTTACTTTGAGCAGTATATGTGGAACTGCACTCACTCCCACAAATCTGAGCAGGGGTGCTTGCTGAGCCGGAATCAAACACCAGATTTCCAAACATTAGTAAAGTAATAGAGGTCCAGGCACTCCTTGGTTCAAGACAGGCACCTTATTAGGAACCACAACAGCAACGTTTCGACCCCAAAAGCTTGACAAAGACCTTTTGGGGTCGAAATGTTGCTGTTGTGGTTCCTAATAAAGTGCCTGTCTTGAACCAAGGAGTGCCTGGACCTCTATTACTTTAATAATACTTTTACTGTCATAATGCTGGCAAACCATCAAAGAAGATATAGTCCACAACTGGAATGCTGAAGGTTGCCTACCCCTGATCTACACTGATGATTATATTGGCCGCGTGCAGTGAGGACTGAAAGGTATTCAAACCTGCACACCGCAGTGGGGACACCATATTAGGTATCAGGACACTATAGCGTTTGGTATTCATGTTTGCATTCCTAATGCTACAGGGTTCCTTTAAGTAGTGTCTCGCCCTCCCCTACTTGACTTACTTGTCTAGTTTCCTCATCTTTCCATTACCGTGAGAGGCGGTGCTGGGTTTATTTATTTAGAATTCTCTCTTTTTCGCAAGTAATTTTCAGGAGAAGGCAGGTATTATCACTCTGGTGGCCTTGTTTTATTGGGGTTGGGAGACCCATTTTAACCCTTAACTACTGTACATTGTTTTAATTTCTTTTGGTTAAGTGTATTTTATATTTTATGCGCCTTCTGCTAGTGCATACTGGAAGGCATGATTTGTGTCTGCTTGTTTTTCATTTAAAATTGTTTAAAAATAAATAAATCGTGACTCTTCCTCCAATATACTGAAAGGCTTGAATACATGCCCTAATTTTGTCCTGTATATTGTAAATACATTCAAAACTTTTTTTCCCCCCTCTCAGTTACTTTTGTAAATATTTTGTTCATCCATTGTGCTATAAAGCAAAATATGTTGGTGCGTTATAAATAATAATAATTTCTTGCCCTACAGGAGGGACTTCTTTCGATCCCTTCAGTAACTTAAATGGTTCGAAGGACGACTTCTCAGAATTCGACAGCCTTCGGTCCTCCTCCAAAGTATCAGGTACTTAATGCAAGGTTGTCCCTGACCTTTAATCGAGACCTTGACAGAAAGAAAAAAAACAAAACAAAAAAAACAATATTTTATCAGCAAGTGCCCCTAGAGCCGGTTAGAATTTATCTGTTGAACATGTGCATCTGGTGCTTAGTTTGGTGATGTGCCAAGCAGAGCATTCAGAACATTCCAGCAACAGTCTGGATGCTGTGAAAATTCTCCATTTGTTCTGCCTGGAAATCACGCAGTGAAATATGATGTATCCCAGGTGCCTATGGGGGTAGGTTAGCCTGTGTGTTCAACATCTGGCGGCAAGAGACCGGGGGTGTCCTTGGCACCAGATAAACAGTAGTCCTGCATGCGGCAGGAAGAGCTTGTTAGCTGGAGGTCAGGGGTCCCACATGTGCTGTCTTAATCCCTCCTACAGTTCTTGGTCTTTTAGAGATGAAACTGAAAGTTTGTTGTTTTTTGTTTGTTTTTTCTCCCCTAAATTTTAAACATCTCTTGGAGCATACGGACAGAAAATGAACAAACGTATTGAATTTAATATGTAGCAGCTGCACCAGCACCTGTCTAATCAATGATCATGTTAATTTTCAATTATGGACAATTTTTTTTTTTTTTTCACTCTTTCAAGTAAATATTGAGACAAACTGTTTTGTGAGTTGTTAGGTTTTTTTTTGTGTGTGTTTAAACAAAATAATTTAGTAGCTATCTGATTGTTTAGAATAGAAACACGGGGTGTTTTTTGAAACAAAATGGAGTCTTATGTTCCTTAAATTGCAAGAATTCCCAGTCTGAGACGTTCCTGGGAACAGTTGTTATGATTTATAAAGTATCATTGGACAAACTGTATACACACGGTGGAAACTTGGTGACCAATTTTTAAATGCAGCAAATGACAGTAGCTTAGAAGGGGCACCTTGAGCTACGTAACAAATATGGCGTGCTGCAGCGTGTCTGTCTGTCTATCTATCTTTGTGTGTGTCTGTGTGAGCAGTATTAAACAAAACTTCCCACAAACAAACTCCACATTGAATTAAATAAATTAAAAAAAAAAAAAAAAAAAAGCTCAGAGAATGTCCACTTCCGGCACAGCAGCTCTGAAAAATCATGTATCCACAATTTTTCCATAATGCCTTTATGCAAATATGTATTTTTGCATAAAGGCATTCTGGGAGATTGGTGGAAACTTAATGTAATTTATATGACATCAACTTACTCTCCCATGATCCTCTGTACATGTTTTTCTCATTTAGGTAAGTCTGACAAAATTAAAGTTACAAAAGTAAAATCGGAACCATGATAACAAATCCGATGTACTAGAATTTAGCAAATCATGGGGAAATAAAGAACTTTCTTTGTCAGACGCGACCGATCCTTGTTAAACTGATCTGTTGCAGTTCAGGGCCGTGCCATTTTGTTGGAACAGATCACTTTAAGGCTTGGACATAATCCTATACTAGATTGTTCAGATTTGCTGAGAATGTTGCTTGACTGGCTGCCTCCTTGTATTCCGGAATGTTAGGTATGTTATCTCAAATAAGAAGGTGAGGAGTCTGATGAGCTGGCGTAGGCTTTACAGTCTCTATCCCTTTTTTAGCATAGACATTTTTATTTTTTAAGCATAAAAAAAAAAAACATTACTCAGTATAGCGTAAAAATAAAGGAGTGTTGTATTGTTTTCTGGAACGGTTCAGCAAAATTTAGGTTTGTTTAAGTTTTTCTTTTGTTTATTGTAAAAGCTTGTAGAACTAAGTGTCTAAGAGCATAAATGGCTAAATTGATAAAAATGAATGTGTAGACCAAAATAGTCAAACTGCAAATAGAGCTGATTTTTAAAAAAAATTTTCAAGTTCTGCTGCTTTGGCCTAACATTGTAAATGTATTTACTGACTTTGACAATTTACACGTAAGTCAATAACGCCTTCTGAGACACCTCCAAACCCTGTGTTTTGTGGGGAATATGAAAAAAAAAATTGGCAGGGAGATTGCTCTCTTTAGCAATCCAGTCCCATGTAATTGCACAGAAACCAGAATTGTTTTCCTGACAAGCTATATAATAAGATTTGTATTCTGTCTGATAGTTGTTGGAGATTTATTCTTACTCAGGAGGTGCTAATTCATTAAAGGAACACTCCACTGGTTTTCAGTGTTTAGTAGATATACTCCCAACGAAAATATGGATTTTTTTTGGGGGGGGGGGAGTGGTATATGAATGAATAGCTTGCAAAAGCTGCAGATCTCTTGTCTGCAGCCTTTGCAAGCCTTCCTCTCTTAGCCCAGATTTTCAGTTAGGGCCGGCAGATTGACCATTCAGAGACATGTCCTTGTGAAGCCTCTGTGGTTGAACTGCGAGTACGTACTTGTGTGTCTTTCCATTTATATACTTCTCAATGAGCTGCAGTAGAACTCCTTAAGAAGTATTAGGCATGCTTGAGCCTAGAATACCTGTGCCACATATCACGAACGGAAGCAAAAGAAAACCTTCTCAGCTTTCTGACAGTGTGGAGGTGTTGCAGCGCCTACTTATAAAAGTGCCAATTTCTACTACAATCGTCTTTTTTATAATTTAAAAAAAATAAAATAAAAATCTAAGAATCCGGATTCAAGATGCACTCCAGCAAGCTTCATCCTTTAACTGTGTTTGGCCCTAAAAATGTAAAAATGTTTGAAGTTCTGAATGACTCCTGCATGTTGAGCTTCACGTTTCGTAATTCCTTATCATGTTTCAAAAGAATTCTTGAGATTTGTTGTTTATATATTTTGCTTGTGTTTGCAGCCGATTCCATTTCCACGTTACCGTCCTTGCGTAGTGGAACTACGAGCCCAGATCTGTTTGACTCTCAGTCTTTGAATATGAGCAACAGCAAGCAGACAATCGCTCGGAAAACGCCAGAGTCTTTCCTGGGGCCCAACGCAGCTTTGGTGAATCTGGACACGCTCGTAACCATGCCCCCGCAACCTCCTCCTACATTCAACCCATTTTTAGCTGCAGGTAAACATCCTTTACTTCTGAATTTTGCAGATGACAAAAGCCCACTTCCTAGGTGCTAATTAACGAACTAATCACAAAATTCTACTTTCTTAACGGTTTTTTCAAGGTAAAATTAAGCTACATTTTTCTGTTACAAAAAAAAAAAAGCCCTATTAATTATTTAATAAAATTAAAAAGAGTTTTTTTAACTAAATATTAAATTGTAATGAATTGAAAACCAAACTGTAAAATGAAGTGTAAAATAAACAAGCTGTGACTATATCCTGGCCTGGTTTGGTTGATACCCGTTGTACAGCGCTGCAGAATGTATTGGCGCTATATAAATAATAATAATCATATAGAGTTGATGCAGACTCAATTTGAAAACGTGAGCCCAAGGCAAGAAGTAACCTCACCTTAAGCCTTTGCTACACCTAGCAAGCAGAACACTATCCTTAAGATTTTGTATCTTGTCTTCTAATGTTTATCTCTATTAACCCTTTCAGCAGCAGGGGAGAGGCGCAATACACTCTGCAGGCACTAACATAGGGTTAAACTAGTATGAGATTGGTCTCTGGTTCTCGCTCTAAGCTATGTTTCTGCATTGCGGCCCAGGCTCTAGTGGAGTCCACTTTCTCAAAGCATTTTGTATTGTGCTATGGCATCAAGCCAGAGGCTCTTTAAAAGCCTTTTTTTCTTTTCCCCCTGTGCGTTTCCTGTCTGTCTGAAAATCGGAAATGACCTGTTTACATTTGAAATTCCTTAAATACCTTGGCGGCAACACCCAACCCCTGCCCCTCACAGCTACATAATCCAGCCTCCCACTAGTAGGAGGGGGGGTCCCCTCTCTTCCCCAGCTTTGAGATCGGATTGCTACCAGCACGCCTATCTGTTTTCCATTACTGGTCTTTTATTCTTTCCATTTTTCTTGTAATTCCTTGTAATTTGCCTTACAGTATAGTCCACACAGAAAACACTATTCTTTCAGCCTAGGCCCAATCAGTTACCTTGAAACTTTACCAAAAGTATTAAATTGTTTTGTAGAGTGTGGTTAGCTGTGGTATGTACAGTGTTTCACATCTTCATTTCATTTTACTAGCCATATCATTTACGGTTGAACTTGTGCTCTAATATTTGTTATATTGTAAAAAAAAAATGTAGTTAATAAAAATACCAATAATTGATATTAACACTCTTATTAAGGGCTTACGTTTTGAAAATTATTTTTCTTTATTATTATTATATATATATATATATATATATATATTTTATTTATTTTTTTTAATTTTACTACATATCCTTCATAACTACTGCTGGGTAAAGGATTAGCACGATCTCAACACCCGTTTATCAGAAACTAGCTGCCTAGTCCTGCTTGTTATTAAGCCTTTTGAATAGTCTTTAATTTTCGTATTTCCTCATTGTGATGTGATTTGCAGGTTTTATAATAAAATTGTATCTCAACCCTGTCCATCTCCCCTTTTCATCTCTCTGTTACATAACAACAAATGTATTCAGTGCATGATGGGTTCTAATGTATGCTTACTTGTTAATTATTCCGATTGGGTTTATAATCCGATTGTGAGCAAGCATAGCATAGAATTTGGAAATGTGTCACTTTACAGGCTTCTACTTGTCATAATCCGCATGATAGTTTAGGTTAATGACTTCATTCATTACAGGATCCAAGCAGCAAGCACTGTGATAGCTTCTAAAGAGGAATAGTCACATTTCTGTTTCTTTTATGCAGAGTCCAGTTCTTCTTGATTGTAGGCGGTCAGAGCTCCGTTACGTGTGTCCATTTAATGTAACATATTATTCGAATAGCCATACAATGGATATGAACTTGATGAACTGGGTATATTATAGCATAATTGTGAATAATTTTTAAGTATTGCAATATAACCTTTATGCATGTCAGTGTTGCTTTCCCATGAAAACTCCTCTTCAAAAAGTCATCCAACAGGAGTTCGGCCATTCTCCGACTATTTTAGCAGTTTGGCATCATTTGTGGCTTTGCTGGTATCTACAACCCAACTGATCTGTGGAATGAGTTGGTGGTTAAATTTCTTACACATTGTAACCATGTATATTGAATGTCTAGCAATGCCTTTTCAGTGAAGTGAAACTGTTAATCCAAAAAAAGCTGAAAAAGATACATATCGTGAATTTAACCAATTTTAAATGAATTACTCTCATGCAGGAGTCCCTTCAACAACAACGGCAGCTCCGCTTGTCAACCCTTTTCAAGTGAACCAACCACAGGCGCTCACTCTAAACCAGTTACGATCCAGTCCATTGATGGGAGTAAGCCAGTCCTTTAGCACCGTGTCAACGCTACCACCTGCCGCTCCGACTGGACTAGCCGTAAACATGCCCATGGCAGCAACTTTGCCCCACCACAGCACCACCATCCCTCCATCGGCAGCACAGGCAATGAATGCCACCAACCCTTTTCTGCTATGAATGTTTGGAGTACCAGAGTGGAAATGTTGCCAGCAGCAGCCAAGGATGGTGTCCAAGGAATAACACTACATAATGCAAATACACTGCTTAGCTGTCATTTGGTTTTGTTTTTTAACCTCTACTCCTATTGAGTAAGAATTGCTGCTCCTTTCTTCAGGAATAGGGGGCAAAGGATTGGTCAGGCCTTGGAGCTGAAGAAACTGTCCACTTAGGAGTGAGAACTGAACACCCCTCACCAAAGTTAGAAAACCCATCTTTTTGTGTCCTTACAATGTTACAGCTTGTTGTGGGGTGGGGTGGGATGAAGTCCGTTCAGACACAACTCGGACCATGCCATGTCTGAAAATATAATGTTCACCTCGAGCGAGATATGGTTCACCTTTTAAACATTTTTTTTCTGGGAAATAAAATGTTTCACCTGTTGCTTTGGAAACAAAAATAGCTTGTGGAATTTCAATAATTGTGTCTTTTGGGGAAATCCAAAGATGGAGGAGAAATGGCTTAAAAAATGCTAATTTCTTACACAGATTGTCCGAGGAATCCATAGTGAGGAATATCACATCATTAAATTCCTTATCTTCAATAACCATATACGGTTGTTTACTCTGTAAAATAATATACATTAACTCAACAATACTATGTTTGTGGCTTTGTAGAAGATTCTGAAGGTAAAATTGCAACAATGGTTTGTGTGTTCGATACCTATTACATTGATTTATCCTACTGGCACTAAACTGCAAACTTCCAATCCAGTTTTAATTCAAGGGCCGTAGAACAATTTATTATTTATGGTCTTTTTTCCGTCAATGTTCCTGGCCTAACTTGTTCATGGTTCAATATAGATTTGTATAGCTTATGCACATAATGTTAATGAGAACCTAACCTAGTGCAAGTATCCTGCTATAGACTGTCACGTGAACCAGTCTACAAGTTATTTTTAATGGTAGGTCTACCGAAACGAGGGATAGCCACCTCCACCATTCTTGGGTGTGAAGTGTTAACTTGTAACAGGCTTATTATGAAATACAACACGTTGATGGGACCTCATCTAACTGCTCATTTATCGTGTTAGCCTTACTGTTCAAGCAAACTGATATAGCATTTTGAAAAACCTGTTCTATAGGTTTTGAGTCCTCTTCAACACCTCCTGATACATTTCTCTGTATATGGAAGTATTAGCACAATTTTTTCCATTGGAACCATGTTTAATTGGCATTTTAGACAGTTCAAAGAAAATTACTGGTAATGTGTCAGTTGCTACTAAACTGTAATCTATATTATCCTCAGACAGATAAATCTAATCTACAGTTGTACATGTCATAGGATGTTAAAGGTGTGTAGAAAGAAAACACACTGTTCCTTGTAAACCGGGCAACACTGAGTTTAAATCTAGACCACTTTAATAATTAATAATTAAAGAATGTATAGCGGTTAGGATTATTTTAATTCTACATTCTGCCATTTTAACGTTTATCCTGCAGTATACCGTAGCATATGCCAAAATATTATTCTGGTTTCTTGTAATTAAAATTTTTAAAATAACGTCCCTGTATATATAGATAAGAAGCAGATTAAATTAATACATATATATCTATATAAATAGCTCCTCATCCCTTCACTATATTTATTTAAATTCTAGACTTATGTTCATTAGTCAGAGAGTTAAAGGAACACTATAGGGTCAGGAACACAAATGTGTATTCCTGATCTTGTAATGTTAAAAACAATATATAACCCCCATGAACCTCCCTTGCCCCCCTTAGGAATAGTAAAATCGTAACTTTTTTTCAGTGCTACGCGGGTCAGCCGACTTCACCCCTCATAGTCCACCTTGGCTAACATCATCAGGATTGATGATCTCAGCCAATCACAATACTTTCCCATAGGATTGTTTACGACAAGAGGCGTGGCGACGGGTGAATCCAAATGCCATCCTGGCCAATCAGCATCTTTTCTTAGAGATTAATTGAATAAATGCATCTCTATGGGAAAAGTTCAGCGTCTCCATGCAGAGCGTGGATATGCTGAATATCAGTGCTGCACACTGTGCAGCACTGACTCAGGAAGCACCACTAGTGGCTGTCTGAGGAGTGGCCACTTCCTAGGTGGTAATGTAAACACTGTCTTTTCTCTGAAAAGGCAGTGATTACCAGCAAAAAGCCTGCAGGTACTGACTATACTCACCAGAACAACTACATTAAGCCGTAGTTGTTCTGGTGACTACAGCTTTCCTTTAATAAAAATATGCGACATTTAGGCACAATTGGCAAGATAAGGAAAAACTCTTTTAGCCTAAAATGTTGCTTCCTTGTAGCCAATAAACTAAAGTATTAGGTGAATAACCCCACTCCCTCTTTACACACACACACACACACAGTATTGGCAGCTCAAATGCCAAAGTTATGCAATACTCCTTCACTGTCATGATATTACGCTACAGTTAAACAGCATCAAAATGGCATCTATGTTCTTTCAAATATGTGGAATATGGGCAAGTCATGCTGATGGCATCTGTTCTGAGATTCCCTGGCTTTTGAGCTACTTATCTGTCAGGTGTCTACTCTTTTGGGAATAGTAGTTGCTGTCCTGATAGAACCAATGAAAGACCTCCCATCATTTAAATGCTGTGAGTAATGGCATGTTGAACTGGACTCGCCTAAAAATAAGTAGCTCTTGCCTCCGCTGTGTCCAGACATGAACTCACCTGAAACTTTTACGTACCATTCACCTGAACCAAGCGGCATTCCTTGCAACTTGAACCTTATTAAGTGCATTGTTACATTTATAGAAAGCCAGAACTGTTGGCTGAACTTGGTAGGAGTTTGGTGCTGAATTCAGCCGAATATTTGAGCATCTCCTAATATCCACAGGGAGTACACTTAAGAGTTTTCGAGTGAGTTTTCTGGCAAATTCAGGTGAGCTGTGCATAACTTGTCTTGTGTTTTCCCTGTCTAAATTAGCAGTTAATAGTTTGGACAGTGCTCAAAGGTAAAATTATTTCAATTCTTCTTTATTTTGAGTCTTTACATATTTATAAAACTATCTTCTCCAAATGTATGCAGAAATTTTATGGCGGCCCACTGTAAATAGAAAGGGAAATAATAATTGCTGTGAAAGTTAAGTTCATTTACTTTAAAGCTGTCAAGTTGAGGAAAATTCCCCAATTCCAGTTTCACTATTTGGGCCTTAAATTTGGAAATCACCTCTAATTCCTGACAATTCTCACTTAAGTGAATAACCCTGCCAGTTGTTCTTTAGAAATTTTCTTGAATACCTTCCTAACGACAATTTTCCAACAACGGTATCTGTTCCATATGGAAGAAAATCACTCCCCCCACGCTCACCCACCGTAGTATTTGTAAGCTATATTTCTAAACAGTAGAGTGCAAGAGCAGTGATATGAAGTTATCATTTTTTAATGCTCCAAACATAACTTTATTTAAACATATCCATACAAATTTAACTTTGATTTAAACGTTCTCCATTCTGTGTCCTGAATAAAACGCAAAATATATTTTGTTAATGCCTTCTTTTTGTGTGATCGAGGAGATCTATATGCTGTTGATCTGCTCTGGAAACCCAAGCTCTAGTGAAAATTTATTAAGAATCTGAGCTTTCAATAGGCTGTTTTACATACTGATCTAAAAAAAAATGTATTGGACTCCTTTTTAAAGATACATTTCAGTTGTTCATATTCTATCACAAATTAAAGATTAGGTGATATAAAGTTTAATCTGGTTAATATTTTCTTCAGACAGAAATGGGAGGTCTTTTGTCACATGACACAAGGTAAGGGAACTGATAGGTTGAAAGTTTTGGGGGTTGGTTGCCATTGTATTATATAACTTTTCATGGATTCAAAATATTTTTTTATACCTAAATAAAATTTGCAGAAGGGATAACATTAATTATTTTTTTTTGTTTCTTCAATCAAAGTTTTGACAAAATCTAGGCATTTCATTACATGACTGTCCTAAAGTCTGCAATGAGAAGGTAAAGAGCATATGCCAGAATTAGGTAATGTAGGCATCGATTTACTAAGCTTTCCAAATTATTATGCACCTAAACCACCTCATCTCAATAAAGTAGTCTGGGTGCCATGTCCAACCGGTTTTAACCCTGCAAGTGAAATCGTTGTCGTTGTGCAGAATGCAGGATTTAAATGTCTATACTGGCTGTCACTCAGACAGCCATTTGAGATGCTTCCAAAAAGCAGAGTAAAATTCTATATCTACCAGATGTTCTTAGAAAGACCATCTGATTGGTGCAGCACAGTGGATACCCGCGCATGCACAATAACCTCCCAAAGCTGTGGAATTTCTGAGATCATCAATCTCGATGATCTCCGTCAAGAACGTGGGGCTAATAGGTGGAGCCTCTGCCCTTCTGTCCTTCTGTGTAACCCCCTAAAGGTAAGCCTGCCTTGGGGAGCTCTGGGCACCATAACAACTTAATTTCAATAAACTTGTTATGGTATTTAAACTGGTCCCTTAAATTGAGGCCATAATCCACATACAAGTCAGCCGGGTTCATCTGAGCTTAAGCAGGACTTTTTAGGCACATGCTAAATGACATTAATATATTTGGGCTTCATTCAGCAGAAATCCATAGTATCATTAAGTTTCTTGATATGTTATTTAACTTTACAATATGCTCTAGTCACAAGTTTATATTGCCAAAAATATTCATTTTCTCTTTGGGATCTCTTTTGTCTTTGTAATTTTTAACATGAACTTTAAATATCAAACACAATATAACACTGAGTAAAAACGTAACAGTCCTGCAAGTGGCTTTCAGAGCCCTGGATTGTGATTTTTTGAAAGTTATGTTGTGAATAGCGCAACTGGTATAGATGGATAAACCATGCGTATCGCGTCGTGACAAGATATTTAAAACAAGTATAGACTGTTTTCTCACGTCTCTGCATGTTTGTACATTCTATGTTCTAAAACGTCATAACTTCATTTTCACTGTATTTACAAAATCCCAGATTCACTTTCTATTCTTATGAGTTTAGGAATTTTCTATAAGTAAATCAAACATTCGGCAAATGTAATACAAAATGATCTGACACTGCTTTGCACCAGTAAATAAGACATTAAAAATTACCTATAGCTTGTTAACTGTTTGTCATGTGATGCTCTGCTGCTTTGTCTTCTTCTCTACTGCAGAGTGTGCCCTGGCTATGCCAAGACTGAACTTGATTATGATGTAATTTGCTAAATCTTTAATATATATGTAAAATAAAATGGAGCCGCACACAAAGGTTAACAGAAGTTATAAGTTATTCTTAATGCTCTATTCAATGGTGTAATTTCCAGAGAAGTGTCAGTTTCTCTGTTTGAAGAATGTATCCATTTGGATATTTGTATAGACTCTGATTAAACCACCTCTTCAGGTAGAGAATTCCGCATCCTTATTGTTCTAACTGTAAAAACACACTTTCCTTTGCCTTAGATTAAATCTCCTTTCTTCCAGTCTAAATGCGTGACCTTGTGTCTTATGTATAGTCCTCTTTAAGACTATTGTTCTTACAGTATCTTGTAGTGGCTGATATTAATACCAGCTGGCATGTTGCTATGCTGCACTAATCAGCATCTTATGAGTTAATGCATCTGCTTAGGGGAACACATCCAGGAAGTCCCCCTAAAACCATAAAATTAAAGCGTCTCTCTCTCACCTTATGGGCATAAGGTGATGGCTCCTCTTGCTGGCCTCTGGGTGCAGCGCAGGTGAGTTATACTTCCCGGATGCTGTCCCCTGTGTGGGCCACGAGGAGCCCATGTCAGTGCTATATGTGTGTAAGTACAACACTAATGTCGATGAAGGATCCTGCAAAACCGCAGGACCCTCCATAGATATCTTGCGACGAGCGAGATAATGCCTTATTCACACAGCCATCTCTAGCATTGAAAAATGACCAAATGTGACGACGGCAGCTCAGCCTTTCTCCACGTTTTCTCATCTTGAGAATTTACCATAAGACAAAGAAGTACAAAGAGCACAGAAGTGGGCAGATTAGGATAATGGGAGTTGTAGTCTCTCCAGCCCCAAAAAATATTGCTGGACTTTCAGACACAATCCTTTATTTTTGAAGTCTGCCATCACTGCTGTCTATAGGATGTAATAAATGACACCATGTTCCTTGGCCTGATCTGCTAGTACTTGATGTCGTTACCGGGCGCCTGCTGATGGATTGTCAGACCCGATGGCAATTAAGCGTCACGTGGTGTAATTGATGATGGTTTGGAAAGGGCCTCGAGGAACAATCCTGCAATAATTTGCTCCAATTATGTCAAATTAACCACGCACAGACCATGTTAAAGGCGTCAGCCTCCCCGTATACATCCCGTATACCTGCCTTTTTAGATAATCGCTGTTCTGTTTGTGTCTTTAAGGTTTGTTGTTGTTTTTTTCTTTATCTGCACTGTGTGGCTTTTTAAATTGAATTGATCTCAAAATCAGATACTGCCTTTCTACAAAAACAATAGTAATGTGCACACATTCTGTGTAGGTTACACCCACATACCCTGTGCTGAAGCAGGACGATAATGCAGAACATGCAATCCAATAAGGGCTAATGTCCATTCTCAATCTGTTGTGGACTTCATTTCCCATGATGCTTAGCCACAATTTTATAGAATGACAAATGTGATCATGTGGAATTTCCTGGTTTATGTGGGGTTTTATTTCTAGTTTTTATTTATTTTTCATGAGATGGTTTGTTTTCTTTTAAATATGTTTTAACTATGTAGAGTATAGCATTGGAGACAGTCAATGGCGGCGTGCAGCCCGCTCCCATCCTCCCATCCCGCTCCCTTTTCTGACCTCCCTCCCCTGCAGGTTGGACTCCGCAATGGAATGGAGGTAACTTGTTGCATTTTATAAAGTCACTGCTCTATGGTTGGAGTAACCCTTTAAAGCAGCAGCCGTGTGCTGTGAATGGAAACTATATACAGTTGGGAGACTAATCTAAAACTGGCATACCACAATGCAGAGTTTTCAAACTGCGCAGGAATCCTTTATATTAGATTTGATATATTGTTTATAAAATGTGTTTTTTAACATGCAGTGTGCACATATAGAATGCCAGTACTCTGGGGCTGACTTAGTTATTAGGCACTGTTAACACAGACTAAGGGACAGAACACAATTTTTCTTGATAGTTGCAGAGGCTAGATATACACAAAGCTGCACCACTGACAATCCACATACACACACGCAAACTCTCACGTACACACACACACCACCAAACACACAGTGTGACATTTCATCCAGACACACAATTCCACAAGCAGCCCCCATACACAGCCCACATTCATAGGTCTCATAAACAATACCACAAACTACTCATAAACATATACAATATAGCAGCCCACATACACACACAGAACATTACAAAGCAACTGCAGCACTCAGTGTCTGCCTATGCTAGCGCCTTTCTATGTATGTGTGATAGTGTGTGTGTGTATCTCTGTATGAATGCTAGTGTTTGCCCGAGTACTAGTGCAGTGATGGCAAACAGGTCGCCGGAGGGAGGGTGCGCTCCGCCGGCGCATCCATAAGGCGGCACAAGTGGCAGCCTTAGGGTGCACCGGCCCGGCAGGCGAAAAACCAGAGTGACCGGCAGGAGGTGAGCGCACTCTGTCTAGCGTGGCTGAGCGTGCCGCAGTACAGGAACTTATGTTTCCTGTACCTGGGCGGACGGAAATGAAGTGCTCACAGAGAGAGCACTTCCTCTCCGGCCGGGTACAGGAAACTGAGCTCTGCGGTGCGCTCGGCCACGCTACAAGGTAGGAGATCAAGGACAAGTGGGGGGGAGGGGGGGTAATGAAAATTGAAGGGCGAATAAAACTGAGGGAGAGATGGGAGGGGGGAAGAAAACTGAGGGAGGTATGAGGGGAGAATGAGTGTGGGATGGGGGAAAGAAAACTAAGGGAGGGATGGGGGGAAAGAAAACAGTGGGGGGGAGGGGGGACGACATACACACAGCACCCCTGCCCTACACATATCACCCCACAGAAACACACACACACACACACCACCCCACACACACACATCACCCCACCCACACACACACACACACATCACCCTACACACAAACACATCACCCCACACACAAACACATCACCCCACACACAAACACATACACTGTACCCCTCAATGCAGTGTGTGTACACTCAGCAGTCTGTGTGTGTGTACACTCAGCAGTCTGTGTGTGTGTGTGTGTGTGTGTGTACTCAGCAGTCTGTGTGTGTATTTAGCATTCTGTGTGTGTGTGTACTCAGCAGTCTGTGTGTGTATTTTGTAGTCTGTGTGTGTGTGTACTCAGCAGTCTGTGTGTGTATTTAGGAGTCTGTGTGTGTGTGTGTGTCTGTACTCAGCAGTCTGTGTGTGTACTCAGCAGTCTGTGTGTGTATTTAGCAGTCTGTGTGTACTCAGCAGTCTGTGTGTGTGTGTACTCAGCAGTATGTGTGTGTGCGTACTCAGCAGTCTGTGTGTGTATTTAGCAGTCTCTGTGTGTGTGTGTACTCATCAGTCTGTGTGTGTATTTAGCAGTGTGTGTGTGTGTACGTGTACTCAGCAGTGTGTGTGTGTACTCAGCAGTCTGTGTGTGTGTATTTAGGAGTGTGTGTGTACTCAGCAGTCTCTGTGTGTGTGTGTGTGTGTGTGTGTGTTCTCATCAGTCTGTGTGTGTGTATTTAGCAGTGTGTGTGTGTACGTGTACTCAGCAGTGTGTGTGTACTCAGCAGTCTCTGTGTGTGTATTTAGGAGTGTGTGTGTGTGTGTGTGTACTCAGCAGTCTCTGTGTATGTACTCAGCAGTCTGTGTGTGTGTCTGTTCTCAGCAGTCTGTGTGTGTATTTAGCAGTTTGTGTGTGTGTGTGTACTCAGCAGTCTGTGTGTGTGTACTCAGCAGTCTGTGTGTGTGTATTTAGGAGTGTGTGTATGTACTCAGCAGTCTGTGTGTGTATTTAGCAGTTTGTGTGTGTGTATTATGCAGTGTGTGTGTGTGTGTGTGTACATGTACTCAGCAGTGTGTGTGTACTCAGCAGTCTGTGTGTGTGTGTACTCAGCAGTCTGTGTGTGTGTGTGTGTATTTAGCAGTCTGTGTGTGTGTGTCTGTGTGTATTTAGCAGTCTGTGTGTGTGTGTGTACTCGGCAGTCTGTGTGTGTATTCAGCAGACTGTGTACTCAGCAGTCTGTGTGTGTATTCAGCAGTCTGCTAAGTACACAGACAGACTGCTAAATACACATACAGACAGACGGCCGAGCACACACACAAACTGCTTAATACACACACAGAGATGTTAATTAGTTCGGACAAGTGTATGAGTTGTTTTTTCTACACTTAAACCTCATTAAGGTTTAATTGCCGTTTTGGCACTTTGACGGGAAAAAAAATGGCATGTATTACGGTTTGGGCACTCGGGCTCAAAAAGGTTCGCTATCACTGTACTAGTGTGTGTAAATAAATTGGAAAGTGGCAAGTTATATGTGAGTGGTCAAGGGAATAAGCAATAGAGAGGAAGAGATGTGTATAGTGAGCCAGAGGTGGACTAGATGTGTAATAGGAGGGCATGAGTTGAGTGGAGGAGAAAGGGGTGTGTAATAGAGAGAAGGAGGTATTATATTGAAATAGGAGGAGGTTGAGATGTGGAAAATGGTGCAGGAGGAAGGCGTGTGTAATAGAGAGAAGGGGGTATTATAGTGAAATAGGAGGAGGGTGAGATGTGGAAAATGGTGCAGGAGGAAGGCGTGTGTAATAGAGAGGAGGGGGTATTATAGTGAAATAGGAGGAGGTTGAGATGTGTATAATGGTGCAGGAGAAAGGGGTGTGTAATAGAGAGAAGGGGGTATTATAGTGAAATAGGAGGAGGTTGAGATGTGTATAAGGGTGCAGGAGGAAGGGGTGTGTAATAGAGAGAAGGGGGTATTATAGTGAAATAGGAGGAGGTTGAGATATGTCTAATGGTGCAGGAGGAAGGGGTGTGTAATAGAGAGAAGGGGGTATTATAGTGAAATAGGAGGAGGTTGAGATGTGTATAATGGTGCAGGAAGAAGGGGTGTGTAATAAAGAGAAGGAGGTATTATAGTGAAATAGGAGGAGGTTGAGATATGTCTAATGGTGCAGGAGGAAGGGGTGTGTAATAGAGAGAAGGGGGTATTATAGTAAAATAGGAGGAGGTTGAGATGTGTATAAGGGTG